TCTGAGGTCCGCGATTTGATTTTGAAGCCACAGGCAAATCCCTACACCAAGTTGAAAGAAACGCTGATTGCGCGCACGTCAGAATCAGCAGCACAGCGCATCAAGAAAGTTCTTGACGCTACCGAAGCAGGTGATGTAAAGCCGTCCCAAATACTGCGTGCACTTGAACAGCAGCTCGATGGAATGCAAGCCAACGAGCAACTTCTAATGCAGGATTCAGCGACAGGAATTAGTTTACCAACTGTGCCCAATAAGGTCTGGTAATATCATTAAACGATATTGTGAAACGAGATGAGTTCTTACATCTGTGAGCAGCTTTAAAGGCCATCGCTCTTGATTCCATCGGTTGATGACTCTGGAGGATTCATAGGAACGTCAATGGTGAAATTCTCATGAACATTGTCACGGCTAAATGGCGAACTAGCGGACCTGCAGCCTGCAGAGTTACCGACTGTAATATAACCTCTGTCGTTGTATGCAGATGCTTTCATCGACAGGTCATTGCCAGGTTGTCAAGTCGTTGCCTTCGGCATTTTAATATCTAGCCATTTGCATGCTGTAAACTTCAAAATTCATTCAAGTTCAGTTTAAAGTTCAAGAAAGAAGGAAGTTTCCGGTCTGTGGAAACTGGCGAGGGACATGTTGTCTCGGAAGATTCCTTCCACCAACCGCAAATACTCAATTCCGATGCACACCGTCAAATTACTCTCAAAACCTTGAAATTCCTTTGGGATGATGATTATGTAGTTCTCCAAGCACCGTATCTGACATTTGGATGACAGGATTTCGATGAAGATCCGCTGGTTGTCCTCATCCGAGCTCAATTTAAGCATCCTAGCTTGCCTATGGGGAGTAGAAACGCGGAAAGCAAAATGTTAAGGAATAACATTTTATTTGCATAAATATTTCAATGCACAATAATCCAGGAGCTTAAAAGGGATAAAAAAAGACTTTAAAATCGTTTTATATCAGTTTGTTCATCACCATCAATGCGAGGGATAGGGAAATAAATTAAACCACAAATGAAAAGAATGGCAAATGCAAGTGAGGTAATTTGGACAAATGTGATGGCGTTTCTGCAGCTTCAAATGCAATGATCTCAGGGCAAATTCTTATTTACCTTCACGCCTTCCATGATTGAGTTTCAATAAATGAATTTGATCTCAAATGTATTTTTAGACATGACTACACACTGATTAATACACAAGGATAACAAAGATCTTGAAACAAGGGTTAGTTATGATGATACCGTTAGAAGGGGAAGTGCGAGACCTGTGGAGAAAAGCCAGAATACTCTTACATCGTGATCAATTCTAAATAGACATGGACTTCTCTCATGGATATCTGCTGATTTTTTTGCATTTGTAATTTTAAAGAATACACCAATACCAGAATATACAGTATCTTCTATAATGAATGGGGTAAAATAAAAATAAAAATGGGGGGAATGTTGAGAGGAGTGTCAATGTCTGAGTCGACCCCTCGAATAAGATGATGGTGGTCACTGGTGGTACTCCCCCCTTGCTGGAAAGTCCTCATCCTCACACAAAATAAGGATTCATTTGTGTCCCTGTGTTGAGACGCTTAAACTAAGGCCACCTCTCATTGGAATCATCCCTTGCTGTTTTTTAGCGATCAGATGAATCAAACCGGCTTGGGGGATGTGTATTTTATCCTAGACAAGATTCGCAGGGCATAGGGAGAACCCACGAGGAGATGGGAATTCATTTAATCTCTGTCGCCTTCCAAAGAGCCAAAAAGGGAAGTTTTCCCCGGGGGATCCACTCTCTTCCTCCATGCAGGATTAACGTTTCTGTCTCAACAACTTCCTTCTTTTCCCGATCCAGTGCTTTCCTTCCGCCGATAACGGTAAGCCTTTCGCCGTCACTTATCATGCCATGAACCCGCCTCTCGATGTTTAAAGGGGGGAGTTCCTCCCAGCCCCCACTTCCGTCTAACCTGCAACTCCACACATTTCTTGTGGTTTCTCTTCCATTCCATCCCCCCGAGATGTAAACATAATCATTATTCCAAGTGCCAGCATGATTATCGATGGGTGTTGGGATGTCGTGGGGGAAAGGAAGCCAATTCGAAGATTTTTCTCTTGTGTCTAAGAACTCGCAGCTAGCGAGTAGCTTCCCCGCATCAGGGTCCTCGCCTCCCAAGACTAAGATGGTGTGGGGATCCCGCATCACTGAAGCTGCACCCTTTCTTCCTATTTTCAAGGGGGACATGGAGATCCATTTATCTGCATTCAGGTCTAGGCGGAGCACTTCCCGAGGATTTCTTTTTCCTCCAATGAGGAAAAGAGAGTCATGGCATGCAACTCCAGCGGTCAAATGAACGAGGAATGGATCTGGAACGGGTATGACTTCGTCCCAGCTGTCGGGAGCTTCACGGGGATCCTTTTCAACATGGAAGATCCGTATTTCCCTCTCTCTCCCGTGGATAAGTCTGCCCGAATGAGCTAGAAGCAAGTCGACTAGTGTGTTGTTATCACGCACCCAGAGAGTCGGGGAGAATTGATCGATTTCCCATATCCCGGATCGCGAATCTGCGCCTTGTCCCAAGGCGAAAATTCTCTGCGCCTCTACAAGGAAAGAAAATAGGAAGTGAAGGCATTCAGGAAGAATTAATTGACTACCAGGTAAATTGGCATTTTTCAGTATCCTGGCGCTTCTTGAATCCCTTCAAATCCAATAGTCGAGGCGAGGAAATATGGAGAATAAGGAAGGGATCATGTGTATGCGCGTAAGAAACACATTCCTCAGTGTTCCATTCCTCAATAAGATTTTAGATCAAACAATCCGTATGGTGATCGAGAAGGAAAAGTCTGAATTTTCTGTTGGATGTCATATAAAATGAATTGCTTATACATGCAATTTTTTTCATTTTACAAGACTTATGCAGATAGGCTTGAATTACAAGGAACGTGGACTTTCTGGAATGGAAAATATTTAACCTTTAATATGAAGCTAAAACTGCAGAGGCAATAACAAGGAATAAAATATTATTTCATGCTTTGCCTGACCTTTTTGGGTTTCTGGAACAAGGTCTGTACAACGTGCCAGCGAACGTCCATTTACAAGAAGACCAATTTGCGAATCCTCCTTCCACGCTTAAACATGTAATTTTCTTGTAAAATCATTTAGTGACTCTGCAAGGCAAAAGGTACTTCAAAGTTAGTAGAGGCTCATCACCATCATCGACTTCTGAACCATTTATGTGAGAGATATGAGAAAGTTATTTAAAGTTATGAGAACGTTACCGCAACTTTCGTAGAATGCGAGACAGTTGTTCACCACGTAATCCACAAATATTGACTTTTTTTGTTTGTTGTTCAGATTGTGCAGTTGCTGCACTCACAAATGCCAGGCTCGACATGTGGCGAATATGTAGGATTCTTTAAAAAAAAAAAGCTTTACCGTTTCCTATAGTAGAAAAACAGTTTCATAGATTTAGCACAAAAAAATTAAATTCAATACGCAATCGATATTTGACAGTTACAAGGTGTTGTAAGGGTTGCCAGCTTTTTTTTCAGCACCACTGCCGAAGTCGTGCAATGCCATTTCACCTTGACTGATGTGATTGCTTGTGCTCGACCGTCTCATAATTCAATTAATTTTTCGACTTTAACTTTTCAAGAGACATTCGGATCCAGCTGATACTTGACGGAACGGTTCATGAGTCTAAGTGATTTTTTTTCATTTCCACAAGATGGCGCTGTATTCCGATAGAGGGCGCTGTTCTTGACCAGATGATTGAGGGTGATTTTATAAAAAGGTGTAATGCTCCACCGACAATCCATGGCTCAGAGAATTGTCCAGAAACAAAAAACCAAGACAATCTTCTCAACACCTCCTATATGTTCAATAGCAAGAGTTTATGAATCTGATATATTTGTACTCAAATGCACGGATCGTACTTTGTCCCTTTGAAAAGGGTGGAGCCTTTTTTTTTATTACCCTCGGTCACCCGGTCTACAGCAGCGCCCTCTATCGGGATACAGCGCCATCTAGGGGGAAACGAATAAAACCTCTAAGACTCATGAACCTCTCTGTCAATTATCAGCTGGACCCAACAGTCCCCTGAAAAGTTAAAGTTGAAAATGTCATTGAATTCTGAGACGGTCGAGCACAGCAACTCACTTGAGATGGAATGATCCACCTCTAAGCAACATTTAATTCACCTCTACATGGGCATTGCACGACTTGGCAGGGGGGGCTGAAAAAAAGCTAGGAAGCAATTCAACACCTTGTAACTGTCAAATATCGATCACGTATCGAATTTAATTTTTTTTCTTGCATTTATGAAACTGTTTTTCTCTCATAGAAAACGATAGAGCGTTTTTATTAACCACCCTTTACTAGTATATATTCGGGCTTCCCTGAACCGAAACCTAGCTTCACTGAACTGAAAAAATTATTTAATAAAGTTATCTGTGCACCCACTGTTCCACTGTCCCTTTATGGAGTACCAGGCTCCAGCGAACCATGCTCAATAACTTAGCAGTGTTTTTTTTAGTATTTACTCGGGAATGAAGAGTGAAACAATTATTTAAATTTCATTTTAAATCAACATTCTCATGGTTTAACATAAAATGGAACATCCTATATGATGGTCTCCCTTAATCCTGTGGAAGAATTTGGCATTACTAATCTTTTGAGTCATGTAAATGAATGTCTGCATGAAGTGCGTATGATGTCTGTGGTTTAAAAAGGGTGTTGGGTACATCTCTAAAGGATTTTTTTGTAGTCAAAAATAAAAATAGCTGTTTCGTTGCTACTTTCACCCTAGCTTAGGTGGTTCAGCGTTGTTTCATTGGTCAGAGAACAGAACTGAGGGAATATTATTAAGTGCTCATGACTACCTGCATCACTGACTCATGTTCACTAGTAACAGGAACGTTCTTAAGGACGTTCAACCTGGGTTTAAAAAGGTCTTTGGTCGTCAAACGTTCACGTATGAGCAGTTTTTCGGCGTTTAAAGTGTCGTTTGATCACTTATGCATGACGCTTTTGGAGGTCATTCTTTGAACGTTAAGGAGACGTTTTCTCTAAGCATATATAGTATGTGCTATCCATCTGGAATTCGTTTCACCAAAGGTTGACACAACCGAAGCCAGATAGCGCCAAAGTTGCTGCTATAGCCTGCCAATGCCTGATACAGATTGAATTAGTCCTTAATATTTTCCACATATGCATTACAAGGGAAGACATTTGAATTGATCAAATGATTCGTCTAACTTGTAGGAGGATAACCCAATCCAATGAGACTACGGAAAACTCTAGCTTGAGTTGTTAGGAGGATGGTTCAACATCCAAGAAGACTTCAGGGGAAATTTATCCGAGGGGCACATAATAATACTTATAATAACTCCCACCGATGCGATTTCAGTGTGAGATGTGTTAAGTTTTACTAGGTGGAAATATCAGTAGATTCAGATGTGATGGAAGTCTCCGTTCTCTCTCTATTACGGCAAGCAATTCCAGAACAGGGAAATACCTGATAATTGACATATCAATAATAGTTATACCCCTGTGAACAGGATTTGCATACAATCGAAGAGGTGGGGATATTATCGACCTATATAAGGGATGGGAGTAAATCCTAATTCCAAAGGACGTTCATGGAATGTCAGCAATACCTTAAATGAAACGCGAAAGGGTGGGGGGATCCTGTTAGAAATCTGCACTAGGCCACCAACTTCCTCCGGTGAGGATGACGCTGCGTTTTACGTACTAATCTGTAGTATCAGCAAAATGTCCAAATTAGGTTTGAGTAAAATCCACGCGAAATCAACATACTATAAAACATGACACTCTCCAATTTAGATTACATTTAGACCAATGCTTTATAGTAGAATTGAGAACGTAGGGCGTGCAGGCTCTTCCAATTTGATGGCAGCTGTAAAACCAACTTTTACTTCGTAAACTGCAAGTGACTCGCAATTGGCCTCAGATTTGTACTTGTTAGGTAGTGAATGTGTGGAATGCTTTGAGCGACGACGTATTGACTACCCCTTCCGTGATTACTTTTAAGAGAGTAGATTAGATACCTTCATGAAAAAAGAAAAGGGAGCAACATATGTAGTTGAAATAGGCATTGGGTGGGGTATGTAATAGGTGACTGGAGCTAGATATGCTCCCAAAACAAATATTTAGGAGTGTTGGTCTGTCTTAGGAAAAGGAACGCCTGACCTCGACTAGAGAAGAACTGGGTAGAACTGCACTCGGTAGCACGATGAGTAGACCTACTTTTTCACGTTCCTATAGATCTTGAATCATGAAAAAAGACTGTGAACACGAGTGAAAAAATTAATTTTCTAGAAGGCGGAAAACTTAGCAAGAGAACCAGTAAAAGGAGTCCTGGAATTTTTTCCTGAATGCATACATTCCACTTCTCACATGTATGACAGCTTTACTCAGAAATACGAAGTAATTTTTCCCTCCCATGGTGAGAATGTTCACGAGGTGATTCAGCCCATGTTACTAAGATTGACTGGAATTCTGAATTACCTTTGAAAGAAATCTCTCTTCTCGCATCCTCCTCCATCGCAGGACCAACAGGGATCTAAATAGAGGAATTTCGATTGGGAACGTTATTCCCACGTCTTTTCTCCATGAGAAGTTACGCATGTGCCGAAAATTAGAGGCATGTAAATAAGTCAGAATAATTCTACATGCCTACTGTAGATATAACTATACCTTCAAAAAGGGGCATGTTTCATTCAATTTTTTCCATTCATCCGGGGAAAGGGAGCTAATGACACGATGGTGGAGCAGACCTCTCCTCTCCATCTCCGTCCAGAGCCCCATTCGACTTTTTATCATGGGGTGTGTCCCCGCTTCCACAATGTAGAGGGTCCTGATGGCCCTGGATATCGCTTCCACCATCCACGAGTCCTCTACCCCCACGCACATCACCGCAGGACTCTCACATCCGCGGTATTCCTCCGGGTGGTAGATTTGAGGGATTACGGCTTTCATCAATTTAAGAGCTTCTGTGAAGATCTTCCGAACCCATTCATCCGATATTAACACCACGACATTCTCCTTCGGAGTAAAATTAAATTTGAATCAGAAAGAAAAACATCTCGAGACACTAGGCTTCATTATTCGTTTACTTCTTGAAATTGATCATTTTTGTGAAACAATATTAACGTATTAACGTTCAACGTATGAGTTCAAAATGAAGACTGATATTTTCAGTGTCGAATACCTCATCAGACGTTAAGAATATATCATTTTGAAAAATGACAGTTTTCCTTTACAGTCTTAGTTTTACCCAAAGGGGCAAAGAAAAGCGCAGTGAATCAGCAATATCTTGGAGAAGTCTCTGAAATAGAAGCAAAAACTTATATAGGAGACGAACGAATGTAAGATCCGATAGTGAGAGATTTTCCGTGAGATCCAGAACATGAGTTTTAAGAAGCAATGACCATCTGCTTCATCTTGAACAATCGTCATTGACATAGCATCTTTATTTCACTCATCCCTAGCATTGGATGAAAAATTGCTGAAATCGACTTTAAGTGAAATAGGTGAAGCAAGGAAACAATGAATCACCAGTACATACGAGATTGTGGGGCTGCAGGTAATCGGCCGCAGTGAGAGCAACGCATCCTCGACCCCGGTTGTTGATGCACTTGAATCCTCCATGGTAATGAGCTTGAGAAGGAGGAGTAATAAGGATCGGTTTCTCCCCAAAAACGAGGGAGGAAAGCTGGGGTCTTGTGTTAAGGGTCCCTGGCTTTACATTCAGTTCATGTGGGGATTCGTGGGACAGGACGTAACGAATGAGGCTGGGAAAGCCCACATCCCGATATCCGTTCTCCAGGATTCTCACGTCTAGGGAAAGTCGAGGGAAAACTTGGTGTCTCATGAATAGGAAATTGAAAGACCGGGTGCTCCAAAAATGGTATGACATTATTCGTAAGTAATATCATTATCCCGAAAAAAATTAACACCGAAAATAAAATAGATGAATTGAATTGAATGTACTTCCTTAGGGCTCTAGTCTGAGCGTTTCTCCATTTGTTGTTATTAAAAAGAATGCAATAAATGCATTCGGTTTTTTTTCTTGATAAGTCGGAGGTATTCTGGGAACTGTAAAGTTTCACTACGGTTGCAATAGTAAAGCTAAGAAAAACGGTATCCCTCTAGTCAATGTAACTGACGTAATATCGTGCCGAATTCATATGGAATCATTTAGGAAAAATTACGTAATTCTCTTTGCAACCAGTTATATTATTTATTTGTATTGTCTGGCGATAATAAATAAACAAAGACTAGTAGAACTTGCATTCGGATGTAAGATTGACAGAAGACGAAAATGTTTTCAAGTGGCTGCTGAAGCAGTATTTACACAACCTTCATTTTTATTCGGGCAATATGTTTTGAAATTAAGTTTCCTTCTTCCTCTTAATTTTTCATATTCAAAGTTCCTTCTCTGTCAGTATGCATTGTGCTATGAATATAGTCAGAGAAAACAGAAATACCGGAAATATTTATATTGCTTCAACGAAGTTAATGAAAGATCTGTTTGTTTTTTTTGCCCCGGAGCCATTCTGCGGAAGAAGAATGACTCCTGGTGCATAAAACGGATTTTAGGCTGTTGAGAAACTTAGTTGGAGTTAAGGACTTCATAAATTTTCTCGCTGAACTCTTTTAAGTTCCATACCCATCCTCTCCCCATCTAAGAAGAGTGTTCCTATTCTACAATTGGCAACATGTGCTCTACTGAAAGATGTCTGTATCACGTCATCTCGTAGAAACCTTGCCCGGCATTTTATAGCGAATGTTTCTGTTTTTGTCAGAAATATTATTATTAGAATACTACTTTGCCAGTAGTTATCATGTCGCATCGTACATTGTGAGAAATGGCAATCATACCTGCCGAAGGAAGTTTGAACCCTTCCTTGAACTTCTTGACGTCGAAAGTTGTCCTATAATGGATGTAGGACTGAAAGGCGATGGCGAGAGAAGCCAGAGAGTCATGGAATCGAATTGGGAGGGTTTCCAGGATTGATTCCCAATCCCTTATCAACCCCTCAGTATCTCCAGGCGTTCCAATTCGATGAACTGGTGCGTCGTCGAAGGCGATGTGGAGTTTTCGCCCTTCCTCTTTCATCTTCTCTAGCATTTTCACCAGAAGTTGCTCAATGACTCGAGGCGAGAGAATGCGTTCGTGCTCGAGATCATGCGCCTTCAGGAGATCGTGGATATCAAAAATCTCGAAAACGTTTTCCAAACCTCTTCTTTTTATCCTCACTTTCATTTCCAGTGGGGTGAGGCTTCTTGTATTGTACTTCGCATACCATCTGCTACTGTCGACGTAAATTATTCGTACCTTGGATATTGCCTCTTTGGCCCTTCTCTCCAATCTCTCTATGAGAAATGACGTCTTTCCGGAACGATTTGGTCCAAATAATAGTTGTATGTCTTCTAATATCATGTCAGTTGGAGCGTGAGTATCTGGCTCAACGAAATTGTTCATAGGGATTTCTGCATAATCAGATGCGTTAAGTGGATTAGAAGAAGCATCTGTAGATGGCTCGTCAGGTTCTCTAAGAGAACAGCATGAGACAAGTCCGATCCTTGCAGGCTCTTCCCAATGGCCGGAGGGCAGTGGATCTGTGGTGATCACATGCAGGGAGCGTCGGGCCATGCTTACCATAGCGGACCAAGAACGGTAGTAGAACTTGCAATCATCTAAGAGGATGACATTCTCGAAAGACTTCCCAGTAACCTCGGCCTGATGAAAGACGAGGAACTCTGGTTGGGGATTTCCTCGGAGTATACTTCCAGAGTCGAGGAATGCCACTCTCTTTCTCAGCCGACTTCCTAATTCTCCAACTAAGACCTTCCTTTCCCAGTCATTCCTGGTGATGATGACAAAGGGCGAGGAATTTTCCGTCGATCCATAGTTCCATTGACTGATTGCCACGACAGCAGTAGCTGCCCAAAGGTGCACACTTTTATCTACTGTGTGCGTTTCAATGAAGACAACTCCTGGTTTACCTGCATCCTCCTCCCGATGCAGTTCATTTCTTAGGCCTTGCATAGGCATTTGATAGTTGCACCGGAACCTCTTGTGAATGAACCGGGTGACTTCGATCACGAACTCCCCCATTTGTCTGGTGTTTCGTACTATCGCCGACAGCAGTTCCACCTTTTCTTCCCCCACGGAATCGATTACTTTCTGGATGTCAAACGACTCGGGGTAAGTGGTGTCACTGGGACGCCAAATGATACATATGCTTCGGCTTTCCACCTTCTCTGCAAACTCCTTCCAACTTTTCCCGACCTCCTCCGGATCCCTTCCGTCCAAACCCCAGTTAATCTGCATTTCGTCAACCAGAAAATGGCCTTCCTTTTCAGCGTTGACCTTCTGAAGAAACGTATCGATTCCTTGTGGATCGCTACCTAGAAATTCGGTTGGGCTCAATATTTTTATTTTATCTTTGAATTTTTGCGTGTCTCTCCATTCTATGAAATCACGACTTAAATGTCCCCCTGACATGTTGATGATGTTGACAATTTCATCTCTTTCTGCCAGTTCTTGGGCTCTTCTGAGAAGCAAATACGTCTTCCCCGTGCCTTGTCCCCCGGCCAGGAAAATCACAGGCTTGCTTTCGCGTAGGATCATCTTCTGACGAGGAGTGAGGAGAAGCAAAGTCCTCTGCCTACTTCCAGAGATGTTCTTGTGGAGATCATCCACTGTCCTTGGCATTCCCTCTACGCAAGCAGAAGCTGCGAGATATGTTCTCATCGTATCTAAATAACACTTCTTGACTGCAGGATCTTGGGTATTCTTTCTTTTCAGGGTAATCCCATGTTTGCTGAGGAACCTTCTGAATGCAATTCCAGATTCAATATCGTCTTTCGTGAGGACATTCACATGGCAGCCACACTTCAAGGACTTTCCAAGGTCACTTCTCGAGAGATACGGCAGAGCGACGAAACTGGAGAAATAAATATAAGGTGCTGCTGCAGCTCCAACAAATTGCTGAAAACAGCGCTTACCGATGTTGAGTTGGTATTCACCCTCTCCAACTAGACATTTCAGAGGGTGCTTGCCATCTGTTCTACCTCTGCTCTTCACCTCGAAAGAGAGAACGATAACTCGATCCCCTTCCAAGACTATCCCAAAAACGTCATGATCCGACAGAAATTTATCTACTCCTCTCTCCTGATAGTATTGATTGGTATTGTGCAGTTTTTCGCCTGAGAATCCCATTGCTTTGTATAACGTCTCTTCAAACCTATAATCGTAGGTTACAAAGCTTGGAGAGTTTTTGAATTCGTCTTTCAAGCATTTAAACACTTCTGCTACGGCCGTAGAAGTTCCGGGAATTTTCACATCTTCAATAGCACTCGGTTCTGCCTTCTTCATTTCTTCAAACAGCCTCTCCTGTTCCTTACCTTTAAGGTAGTCAGGAGGGAACGAGTAAGCCAGCCTCTCTGCACCTGGATAATATTCTTCTTGATACCGCTTAGCCGCCTGAAGGAAAGGGACTTCCTCGTATCCGGGGAGACGAACTCTCATGAAATCCCCCTTCCGAGGATCTTCCGCCTCGGATTTTCCCCACTGATTCAACTGAGCCAGCTTCTTGGAAATCTCACAATTGTGTTGTGACTGCTTCTTTCCCTATTAGACACATGACAAAAGTTGAAAGTGCTCTTCCCCTTTACGACAAAATAGTTCGGCAATTTACGAACCTTCGCAATTTCTGCAACCTTGTCTTTGTGGGGCCGCCCCTTTCTTCGCCTCTTCTTACTGTTGAATCGAAATTGAAATATTGTCAGACTGACAGTCGCTTCAGGGCCGATCGGGCCTGCGCACTATAACTATATAAAAATATCTGCTAGTGATGCATATATATTAATTAAAAGGGTTGTTCCCTTTCATCAACGGGGAGGTCATGGAAATGAATGATTGTTGTTGAGGAATAATCGCGATAAGCTACGGAATATGTGGAAAGCATATGGGTTTCAACCTCAAGATGAATTTCATCCAGAGGATAGGTGATGCAAATTCCGACTCTCTTTACTCAACTTTGGCCTCCCGGTCATCAATTCCGATCATCCGATCATCAATTCCCCGACAGGACAGTTTCCCGAATGATATATTCCCCGAACGGTCAGTTTCTCGTTTGTAAAGTCCTTATTGATGAATTCTACAATGGTGGCATTAAGGTATTTGTTTCAGAAAACAATTTTCCAATCTCCCGTATCATACATTGAGGAGTGAGGGAGGTGGGGATGCGGCCGCCACCCAACCGAGCTGGAACCGAAGCGAGGGAGATCTAGGCAAGCAGAATGGAAGGGAAAGTCCTTATTATTTATTAATCGTTAATATAGTTATAATTCAACAGATAATACATATTTTTACGCAGCACTTTTCCAGAAATGGTTACCCTAATATTATTCCAGCGGGCATAGATAACTAAAATACGGCACAGAAGTACTTTATCTCTTTGTGTGACTATTTCAATAAGCGGAATATATCCGTTTATGACGACGTTAATATCCGATGACGTCACATATCAGGAAGCAACTTGACAGAGCAATAAATATGACCATGACCCCAGGAGTTTACCAGATAGTTAAAACGGATCTTTCAAATAAAATAATTTTTTCCCAGATAATAAAGCACGAAGGCGCGATCATAACGACTTTGTGATTATAGATCTATAAAAAAATACCATTAATGGTATCGGATATGAAGATGGTTTTCCTCCTCGGCCTCATCATGAGGGAATGCGATGAGTTTTCAACATGTGACGATTCCATCCGGCCCTTCCCTCCTATTCTTCTCTCTCTAGTAGCATTACGTTTTTCCTCGTTTTTTATACCATGTCAATTTGGTTCCCTCGAGTCAGCGAAATTTATTCCTCTGCAGAGCAATGTTGCTTTCTTATAAGGAATATGATTCTTCCCGAATTTTTTTATTACAGACTTTGTATGAATGCTGATGAATAATTCGACTATTTACTGCATTTCACTTCGACCGCGATTTTCCTGTCGAAATTTAAAGAACTTTATTTGCCTTGTGAAATCCAAAAACCTGATGGGAATATACAAGTATCAAATTGATAACATTCAACCCAACCTTGTCTTTGATCCATCCGTACAAAACGTCCACCCTCTATCCACCTGATCAAACAACCATGTGGATGGGTGGTGGATTTGGAACCAGGTGGACGTCCCCCCGGTGAAAATGCACCTATCCATTCGCGCACATGTACTTGGAGCCTGGTGCATTTTCCCTCTCAAATGGATTTTTCCCCTGGTGGATATTGCTCCAATAGGTGGAAAAAGGGCCTGTAGGTGGACCAAGCTTTAGGTGTACCCTCCATCTGCAAAATATTTCCGACCGATAGCTTTTCCTATCCGGGTCTCGTGAGTTCCAAATGCCATTTTTCTCTATATGCTATCTCCATACTGGGCAATCAACATGAACGAGGAAGCTCCGTTAAAAAAAATCACCAGGCAATGTGGAAATGAATAATGTGCTTAAAGAGCCACCATTCTTAAAACTCACCCTATTAGGCTTAGAAGGACACATCTTCAAAGGACTGGCACATACGCATATCGCACTAATGGATACCAACAATGAATCATCCAGCTTCGAACCATTAAGCTAAAATGAACGAGTTGTCACGCTCGTCAAGCTCAATTGTTCAAACATTGGCCTTCCATGATTTTAAAAACTCACCTTTCGGAAGGAGCTCTTTTCCTCTCCTCTTGAGATTCATCCTTGCATCCCTCCCGTTCCCCTGCCTCACTCTCAAGCTCTTCCGCCGCGGCTCTAGCAGAGGAGGATGCAGAAACCTCAAAATTCCTCATTGGGTCTTCGAATCTTCAAATCTGAAACAGGAACACCTTTGGAAACTTTGCGCGTTCAATCCCAATCCCTTGGTCATCTCATTTTCGTTGCGAGCAGATGACGAACATAAATATCCTGTTCCCAAATAAGCCTTTGCAATCTACGATATTATCGTATCCGGGAGAACATAGCTAGAACGGTCGGTAAGAAAAAGAGCATACTCGTCTTAATATGGACATTTCAGTCCACCAATTCATAGAATAATAAAGCAATAGTCATGCATAGCAAAAAAAACGGCGATCCTTCTCTATATGATACGTCAAATGTCCCTCCCCGTTTAATGTTGCGTTCTGATTTCCACAAGAAAGAGTCAATGGTGCTACAGCAAAAGCTAATCCCGAATAAGATCATATTTTGTGACTACTTATCCTTAGATCCGGCCATTAAAGGAGTCATTCCATTCAGGAGGGTTGAACACTGTATTATGAGGGATATCAGTATTAATATATAACATAAATTATGAGGCTAAAAAGAGGTATTCAGGGGTAGATAAGGGGTAGAGTAAAAGTTGATTAATTTCGAAAATTTGCTTATTTGCGATTAATGCTTTAATAGATTATTCGGAGATAGCGGGATGTTTCCGACGTAAACTGCATTGAAGACGAAATTTAGAGTTTCGCACTCCTTACACTAATATTAAAATTCTGGGCATATGACATCTACTTTGAAGTCTACATTTTGAGAAGAAAGAAACTAAACTATTAGACCAGAGAAATCTTTAATAAAATTATTCCTCATCCCTCACCTGTATATGATTCTTGCCGATATCATGAGATGAGCTGCTTCAAGAATAATCCGATGTATCTAGAACGACAGTGTGCTTTTCTTAGCTCAGCCAGACTGCGGGATGCAGGATGACGAGATATTCGCATTTTATAAGTTCTGATAGTTAATCTACAGCGTATATTTATGGCACATTCAGTTTATGATTCTCTCTGAGGATAGGACGAGCCTGTAAAGAGCATGTATTATCCTGATTTACGAGCGAAAGCTATTATCTCGGATTTTTCCCTGTTGGGAATTTAAAAAGTTGCTAAAGGAAAAAAATTTGAAGACATTGATGACGAAAGGTGAAACCCATTGAGATTCAATNGGACATCCACCTGGTTCGAAATCCACATGGGAGGTAGACGTTTTATAAAGGCTGGCTATCGAAAAGGATAGGCCCAGAGCACTCAAGGTTTACGGTAAAAAGAGATATACGATAGAGGTATGACCCGTATCAACATGAACGAGGAAGCTCCGTTAAAAAAAATCACCAGACAAGGTGGAAATGAATAATGTGCTTAAAGAGCCACCATTCCTAAAACTCACCCTATTAAGCTTAGAAGGACACATCTTCAAAGGACTGGCACATACGCATATCGCACTCATGGATACCAACAATGAATCATCCAGCTTCGAACCATTAAGCTAAAATGAACGAGTTGTCACGCTCGTCAAGCTCAATTGTTCAAACATTGGCCTTCCATGATTTGAAAAACTCACCTTTCGGAAGGAGCTCTTTTCCTCTCCTCTTGAGATTCATCCTTGCATCCCTCCCGTTCCCCCGCCTTACTCTCAAGCTCTTCCGCCGCGGCTCTAGCAGAGGAGGATGCAGAAACCTCAAAATTCCTCATTGGGTCTTCGAATCTTCAAATCAGAAACAGGAACACCTTTGGAAACTTTGCGCGTTCAATCCCAATCCCTTGGTCATCTCATTTTCGTTGCAAGCAGATGACGAACATAAATATCCTGTTCCCAAATAAGCCTTTGCAATCTACGATATTATCGTATCCGGGAGGAGAACATAGCTAGAACGGTCGGTAAGAAAAAGAGCATACTCGCCTTAATATGGACATTTCAGTCCACCAATTCATAGAATAATAAAGCAATAGTCATGCATAGCAAAAAAAAACGGCGATCCTTCTCTATATGATACGTCAAATGTCCCTCCCCGTTTAATGTTGCGTTCTGATTTCCACAAGAAAGAGTCAATGGTGCTACAGCAAAAGCTAATCCCGAATAAGCTCATATTTTGTGACTACTTATCCTTAGATCCGGCCATTGAAGGAGTCATTCCATTCAGGAGGGTTGAACACTGTATTATGAGGGATATCAGTATTAATATATAACATAAATTATGAGGCTAAAAAGAGGTATTCAGGGGTAGATAAGGGGTAGAGTAAAAGTTGATTAATTTCGAAAATTTGCTTATTTGCGATTAATGCTTTAATAGATTATTCGGAGATAGCGGGATGTTTCCGACGTAAACTGCATTGAAGACGAAATTTAGAGTTTCGCACTCCTTACACTAATATTAAAATTCTGGGCATATGACATCTACTTTGAAGTCTACATTTTGAGAAGAAAGAAACTAAACTATTAGACCAGAGAAATCTTTAATAAAATTATTCCTCATCCCTCACCTGTATATGATTCTTGCCGATATCATGAGATGAGCTGCTTCAAGAATAATCCGATGTATCTAGAACGACAGTGTGCTTTTCTTAGCTCAGCCAGACTGCGGGATGCAGGATGACGAGATATTCGCATTTTATAAGTTCTGATAGTTAATCTACAGCGTATATTTATGGCACATTCAGTTTATGATTCTCTCTGAGGATAGGACGAGCCTGTAAAGAGCATGTATTATCCTGATTTACGAGCGAAAGCTATTATCTCGGATTTTTCCCTGTTGGGAATTTAAAAAGTTGCTAAAGGAAAAAAATTTGAAGACATTGATGACGAAAGGTGAAACCCATTGAGATTCAATTATTGAAGGAAAGCTAATTTCGTGAATCGTATGAGGGCTGGGATATCTGACCTGGGACCCATGTCATGTTAAATTATAGCGGTAACTATGGGGAACCATATTTACTGAACACAAGGCTATCGCTTTCTGCAAACTCACACATTGCAACAACGTGTGTTCTCCATCACAACATTTTAGAAACAAACTATGACCAAACGGCTCCATCTGGAACCTGCCGAACCTGGATCTCATTTTTCAGCCTGAAAGTTTATTCCCGTAGCTTTCCTTACTTTTATCCTGTTTTCCTGTGGCACTCACAATTTCCATTGAGTCATTGAGGGCTTTTTTTTTCAAGAGGTAAGCCCTATTATGTAGTTGACTGTTCAGTTTCTCTCGAGATTTGCATTTTAATTTCGAAAAGCATGGTTCACATTCCCACCAAAATTGCCCTTTTCATTTTGATAACCCTTCAGGCCTCGATGCCACTTTGCAAACAAAGTTAACTGCGAATGTATTAACTCATTGAAGCTCTGGAGGCGACACTTCGTTCCAAACAACAATCAACCGTTAACGAAAGTGATCGTTGGTCTTTTGGCTCACACGTGATACCACATTTAGATTGCGAAACTACAAAATGTGAAAACTTCCCAAATGCATGAACTACTCTATCGAGGTGTGGCACACGTCAACTACACTCAAGGTGAGGCCAAAGCATGATGTATTTTGCTTCAGGGATGCTTAAGATACCCTTAGACCTCAGTTATCGGTGAGAAGACTGAAGATACTGTCTTTTAACTTACATTAGAACAATGGTCGTGGCTTTTGCCTCTCTTCAGGCCAGGGTCTCCTGTCTGAGGTTGGTCCATAATGGCCTTAGAAAAAGAGTCTCTAGCCTAACCTTCTTGAGTCTCTCTTGCCTGAGGGTGAGTTATTTTTATGACCTCCTTGGATCCGTGCAGAAAACTAGTTTGTAGTGGATATGAACAACCCACCGGCAAGAAAATAATCATCCTCTACCTTTGCTTCCACACGGAATATTTCATGAGCTAATTCTAGGAAGGGGTGATTCAGAAGATTTTTGGTTGACCATGTCAGTTTTCGTACCGGCTAAAACATTCCAACTTGCGTGACAGATTCTTACTTAGTGTGGATGTAGCAATCAAATGAACAATGAACATTTTTGACTCGCCCTGTATCGCGCATTGAAGCTCAAAATTGAAATTAGAGCCCCTTCAATAAAAAATTACATGTAACTACAAATCAATGCCACGGTTTTCCCCAATTAGTCGTTTTCCAAACTAGGCTTCTGTTTTCGTAATCATTTGAGCAAATCCCAAACTGCGAACTTTTCAGAAAACATAGCATTGGATTAATAATGTACAAAAAATGAAACGTGAAGTCCGATTTTCATCTATTAGCCTGTCTTTTTCGAAACTTAACTTACGGAATAGGATTTAAAAAAAAGACAGATTCGATGAGAGCAAACGATGGATGCATGGCTTCTGACGACAATCCAGGTCCTCGAGAAAGTTTACACAAGGGTAGAGCAAAAAATAAAAACAGGATGAAATGTACCTATTAAGAAGCGAGATTTCGTGTTCTTCACAACACCGGGGAGATGGAGCTTCAAATTTGGTAGAATGATTCCGTGTTGGGGAGGAAGAAACATGCCCGAATTAGTTTCAGTTGATATTTTCTAAGAAAGGAATGCGAAGAGGTTGAGTTTTGCTGCGAAAAGGGGTTGAAGAAGGTAAAATGTGCTACAGCGTCTATTGATTTACTTACGAGTTCATTTACAAATAGAAAGTGCCAGCCCAGGTATAGATCTGGCATTCCACTGGCACCTGTACCACTGGATTTATTATACAAGGTAGGTCAAAAAGGTTTCGAGACTGGGTTTACTGCACGCAAACGGTGAGTGTTACGGCACTGTTGCTGTGACACCTTCAAAGTAGTGGCCCTAGGTTTCTGGACCCTTTTGCCGACGTCTGTGAAGTTCCTCGAAACAGAACTGGAACCCATTTTTAGCGATCCCGTTCTGCGCCGCCAACATAGTTTCCTTCACCTCTGCTGCGGAGAAAAGTCGACGTCTCTTCAGGCGCTTCTTAATTCTTGGGAAAAGGTGAAAGTCGTATGGTGAAAGGGCCGGGGAGTAGAGGGTATGTGGTAGTAAGACTGTGCCAGTCTCTGTCAAGTAACGGGTCGCCATCAGCTATCTGTGCGCTAGTGCGTTGTGATGGTGGATCCAATTCTTGTCTGCCTACATCTGTGGTCGTTTCCTCTGGATTGCTTCTCGGAGACGCCGCAGCACATCTACGTACATCTCTTTATTCACCGTTCTTCCTTCTGGAATGAACTCACGATGGATAATACCCTCGTGGTCGAAAAACACCTTCAACACCCCCGTCTAGGGACTCACGGCCTTCTTGGAATCGTCGATGCCCCTCAAACACTCGAGGGCGCGAGATTGTCTTGTCCCCATACGTCTGTCTCGGCATTCCAAAGGTCTCTGCAGCCGTTTTACACAGTCTAGCAAAATTTTCACATCAGCACGCTTTTCGAAACGTGACATCTTCGCAAAGTGAATGCAGACCGCCGACTGACAGTCAAAGAGTTGCACGTGGGGCAACCCAGTCATTCCGACCCAGTCATTCCGAGTCGGCCGAGGAAGTGTCGGTGGTCCTTCACGTAGGGACCAACGATACTCCCAAGTCTGGCTCTAAACTCATCATGGGCAGGCTGAGGCAGGCTATTAGGGCGTGTCGGGAAGCAAGGTCGGGGGTGCGGGTGACGGTATGCGCGATCCCAAGCAGGCTAGACAAATAAGTGCCTGATGTGTCGCTGCGTAAAGGGAAAATTCTAATTTTATTATATATGGACAATCGTGAGTAGATGACTGACTGACATAAGTAGCTATTCGCGTGCTGAGTTCAAGAAAAAATTCTACCTTGGTGATACATGTCTTGGTTCAGTCTTGGTCGAGCGTTCGTAGCGTGAGGACGTGTTGGNAAAGGATCCTATAGGTTTTTCGTGTTTCATAAACCTATAGGAAAGTCTATAGGTTTCCATTAAGAAATATCTATAGGTTTCCTATAGGACATTTCCGTAAGGGGAGGCATACAATCGGCTGCTTCTTAGTGCGTTAATAGGGCCGCTGACGACTCGTCAATACCCGAAAATGGTACACGCTTCGCCTTGGCGGACCTGGGTTTTGTGGATGTCTTCCACCGGTTGGGGTCTCCGTCTCACTCTCGAATTCGCGGTTTCTTTCGAGCTGCCAACCAAACTCGGGAATGCCCAAGAAACAGTTCGTGGAAGGCTTCCGACCGTCTCACGCGCTTGAGCTCGCACTTTCTCTCTGGCCTTCGCGACAGTCGGATCTGTTCTTGAGAATGGGAGAGAGTCATTGTTCGCCTTGCGCTCCCCCCCCCCCCCTAATAATAGGGGTATTCACACCTCGATTATGAACTTTCACATGGGGAAACGCACGTATAACACTTGGAGTCCCGTTTTCCTTCGCTCGAAGGAGAGTGACTCCCAAGTGTGAAAGCGGCGGGATCATATCTGGGTGGGATAAAACAAGAGGCCTTGTCCTTGGATCACCAGGAAGCCGCCGGTCGCGTCGTTACCATCCCGTTTCCATATTTGTATTTTCCACTCATAGGTTTGCATGAAAAGTGATGGTGAGGGACTTTACGGACAATACAGGTCGGGTTGTGGTCAATAGGAGGAAGTGTCGATCAATGCGAGAACAAGGTTCCGGTCGATAAAAGGAAAGAGTAGCTGCTGCCTATAGCGTTGAGAGAGCCACTGGGTTTTAGGGCAGCCAAATGAACTCGTGAACTCTTGTCAGAGTTCGTGGGAGTCTTCCACGGGTCGGCTAGTATAGGAATCCTATAGGATGCTAAATGTTTCTCATAGGACCTACAGGTTTCCCATAGGAATATATATGGGATTCCTATAGGTTTCCTATAGGATCTGTAGGGTTCCTCGAGGGAAGCAAGCATTCCTAAAGGAAGTCCATAAGATTCCTATAGGAATCGTATATTATCCTATAGGTTTCTTATTGGACCTATCATAGGCGTAGAAACGTCCTCGAAAGTATGAGGGTCAATGAGATATGTCAGTTCCGAAATTTGGAAAATTACTATTTAATCACGAGCCCACGATCAGGATAGGAAATTCACGTGAAACTAGAAAGTAAATATCCTCCTTTCCTCTCTTTTTCTTTCCAAAATATTTGATCAAATTATCGAATTCTAAGGAGTCCAAAATGCATTGATGTGCATGCATCAATGCGACACTTGTCTGGCGCTGTTGTGTCGTTGACGTAAAAATGTAATTTCCCTAGAAAAGGGGACAGAGCATTCAACGCCCAGCCAATTTCCATCATTCTAATGAAGGAGTCCACAGCTAACATTCAGGAAATCAACACCGAAGTACAGATGAGAGAATGCGGTCGAATTCGGCCTGGATCTTGGCTAACGTTAGGCCTACGGAAATATGTTTTGTAGGCCTATGCAATCTCCTCACCGACGGAAAATTCCAATTGCGAATAAGTGCTCGACCTCGATTCAGGATGCCAATATGGCCAGAAATACCTCTGTATGCACACCATGAACTTTGAAAGGGAAACCGATGAAACCCTGCTTCGCCTCGCCAATGAAAACTGTTCGCTGCCATGACAGCAGACACCTCGCATTGTCTTCTGTGGTTCCACTGTGGTTATAGTTCCTTCGAGATGGAGAAAGGAGCGCGTGAGAAATGCGAGCGATGAGGGAGCATTTGCCGAGTAAAAAGAGTGTACATTTGAAACACAGTGCTCACTCTTTACCTTCTAAACGCTTGGATTTTTCTAAGATACATCCAGTGAACTGTGTCCTGCACCGACACAGGCACAGTAGGCCAATAGCACCTTACCCAACCCCGGCAACATGGATCATGTCTCTAGGACAGATTCTATAGTGATTTTATATTTAAACTTCATGCGTTTCAACGAGGCGCCATCCCACAGTTTCTTGTCGATGATGACCGCTTTGGTAGCGGGCTTAGAAACGCGACGGTTTCATTCGGAAGAACGTCGGATTCCAGCTCGGCCTCCACATTGACATGACGTAAGGTACTAGACAGTAAGCAACTAGGATACTCAAATAATAAAAAAATATAAAAATATATAGCTTTAAGAGGGTTAGGCCTACCCTAAAATTAAGGAACGCTCGACCTCGACACGTGATATCGAAACGGGCGATATCGCCTCTTGATATCATTAACTCTCTTGTCGAATGTGGAATTTTAAAAGCAGTGTTTGTCCATCGAACGAATGTTCAACGAATTTTACGTGGTGTGATGGCACTTTGATTACAGGGAAGAAGGCTGTCAAAAATGAATTAATTGATCTCGTGAAGGAAGAAGAAGCAGTCCCGCTTCAGGTCATGCACGCCTTTGTGCGATGCCGCACTTTCTTCCGAATTCGGAGACTGAATGATGAGCGAGCACGGAGACACACCCAAAAGTCAGTGAAGAAGATGAGTCGAAGAATGAACAGATTGGGAATGATCAAATTTCCTTTCGAATACACCGTCTTTTCATCCAGTCTGATTTTAATAACTTCATTCTAGCAAATATTGACCCATAATAAAAGCATGATGAAATGTAGCTATTGCTAGGAGCGCGGGGAAGCTGTAAGGGGTGAGAAAAATAGTGTTTTCTCCTGTGATCTCTAAAATGAGGTAGCAGACGACGCTGCGCTCTCTTGAACCACGTGACGTCATGCGCAGAGAGGGCTCATAAATCGCTCCGCTGTCGAGCAGACCTTGTCTAGCCTGCGATCTCCAGTCTTTGCTGGTGCTTAGGCAGTAGGGATTGAATGAATAATGGGTTCGAGAAGAAATTGGGATTTCCCTGAGCAGGGTTGGATGAGTTAGTGGATGTGGGGATTGAATGCACCGAGGAGTTGACTGGGGGTCGTGGGGGGTGTTTTGGATGGGCAGGTGAAAGATAGGGCGCGTTATTGGCTGTATGAGAGGATGGATGCTGAGGGGAGGGGGGGAGGGCAGGAGAGGCCTGCCGCCTGGAACGAGGTGAGAGGTTGGAGCAAACGGAAGGAGGTGGAGAGAGGTCTTCTTCCGGGTCCTCTTTTTCGCCGGTATGGTGCCGTACGAAAAAAAAGGGAGATGTTAGTATAGGGGCAGGAGTGCAGATGCAGAAGGATATTGCCGAGAATACAGGAGAGGAGAGTAAAGCGGAAGGCAAATTAGAAAAACGCTGTCCTTTGAAATATAATTAATAAATCAGGTACATTATAGAAGAGAGTGTTTTGTCTTATTAAAGACATTTTGATGGCTGTCGAAACAAAGGGCTTCCGACATCTGTGGTAAGGGATTGACCTGACTGAACGAAAAGCACAGTGATGTAATTTAGAGCTTAGGATTGGACCGTAGCTGAAAACTTCAGTCTACATCTTCTCGTACGTGGTTTTCAACGGGAATATGGGCATATTTCTGGCCTCGACTCCATGATTCTATCTGGAAGATGGGGATGACAAATAAGGAAGTGTCCAAGTTTATTGATTGCTACAATAAGGCAAGGCGAGACATCTGGGGATGTACAAAACTCTCTTGTGAGAGATGATTCCATGAGTAAGAGGAGGGCACTTTTATGTAATTTGAGACATGGGAGAACTCAATACCTCCATCTAGTGGCCTAGAGGAGAACTTCAAACGGAACCCTATAGGCCTATAGGGTTCCATATAGGACCTAAGGGTCTCCCATTAAAACCCATAGGACCTATTGGGTTCCCTATAGGACCTTTACAGAACCCTATATATGGGGTGGTTAAAAAAAACGCTCTACCGTTTTCTATGGGAGGAACAGTTTCATGAATGCTGCAAAAAAATTGTTTTGGATAGTGGATCGATATTTGACAGTTACAAGGTGTAGAAATGATTGCCAGCTTTTTTCAGCATCCCTGCTTAAGTCGTGCGATCCCCATTTAGAGGTGAAATAAAGGTGCTTAGAGTTGGTTCATTCCACCCCAAGTGGGGTGATTGCCTGTGCTTTATTATTTTAGGATATAGGATATAGGATTCATATCCATATATGGCATTTTTGCAAGGGCTCCCTGCATTACATTGAACGCACTATATTTTTGTCACCGATGCCATTGATGAAATCCCAAAACATATTCATTTTCATCATTCGAGTGTTGACTCGATTTCTGAAGATTTTCAATGAGATTTTCAACACGAACCTCCTCAACTCCCTGAGACCCAGTCGCCTCTAGTCTCTGGTACCCGAGCGCATCCATCACAGCCCCGCACTCCCGTTCGATAGTAACAATAACCTCCTCCTTCATGTCCCGTTTCCAATGGTAGGGGTCGAACATGGTTGAGTTCATGTCCTTGGAATGATGCTTGCTCGAGGGTTCTGCAAAGTAGGCCAAGACCCGTTTGTCCCCGTCTGATGGCCAAGGAATCCCCAGGAACCGATAGAGATCGCGCGTGATCTCGATCGGATTTGACATGAATTCCTCGTAGCTCACTCTCCGCCGTCTGTATATGTAAAGAAATTTATCTTCAAAGCACTCGCTGGAAATAACTTAATCTACTGTACGTTTATTTCTCATATTCCGTCCCTTCGCGCTACATATGTTAACTTTCATTCTCATTCGATTCTCTAAATTTCTCTGTAATTTATTTTGCTTGATTGAGTCAGAAGTTTCATATCTCCTTGAACTTCCAAATCGATCAACCATATCAAATCCCGGGCAATATACTCGGAAACCGTGGAACACGCGGACGATAAAGAACCTACAGTCTGAATAAAAAAAGTAGTTTTATAAATGAGCAAGGCTGGAGATGGTGGATTAACCATATACCATCTCATTCAATGGAATGCTGTATGAAAGCCGCCTAATGTTTTTTTTTTCAGGAAGCATTTCCTGAGCAGTCTAAGAAACATGCCGCCTCGGAAATTTGCGATAATGCAGAAGCGATTGGTTTTTCAGGTGCTTGATTGCTTTATCCTCGGTCGAATCAGCGACAAGAATGACTACAGTACTCGACCGTGTCCTTTGAAAAACGTCAAAAGCTATTGTTTCGTGCAAAGTGAGTCGCAATAGGGCTGCTTCATGTAGCATTCTGAAATAAGCAAAATGCGAGCGTCAATTTTCGCAGTGATCGCTCAATTACAGGCTATTTTTAATCTCGTAGAATGAAAAAAAAAGTGGTAGCCATTCGACTCCTCACGTTCCTTAGCAGTCTTTACGAAGGGCCAATTAATACTTCTGAAATGGACAAGACCTGTGACGCGGCCAGAAATTACAATGGAATGAACGTTACCGAGTAAGAAAAATCCAGATTCTTCAGTTTCACGAGAGGGGATTCATATATTTCAATACATGGAAAGAAGTGAATCTAATGATCCTTGCGACAGAAATCGTCAAAAGTTGCAGCAATATATAGTTGAAAAGTTAGATCCAGGAAAGGTAAAGTTCGCTGGCTTTAATACAGCAGCACAAACGCCCGTCAGTGGGGAATAGAATTTTCTCATTTTCATTATTAGATTTGTAATTTTTATAAAGGAGCTGTGCGGTCGTGTTTGCCGTAGTATTTTTGCCAATGCTTTATTAATGCCGAAAATTTACTCCAAGTTATTTTTGGTAAAAAAGGGAGATACTACGAAACCTCAAGTTGGGATGAGATTCTTTCATCCCGATGAAATGGCATGCATGCATTACCGATTAGGGGGAAGACTGTCGATGGCGAGGATGTCGTGTCCAATCTGATCGCACAGCATCCAGGGATCCCTCTGGAAATCGCTATGAAGAGTCTGGAGTCTGGAGTTGATTATCCCGCGAGGGTCTCGAAGCCAGTGGACCACCTGAAACAGGAGATCGGGGATGTTTCGTAATGGTTGTCCTCATATCCCTCAGATCCTCTGAGGAGCGCTTGAGAGATTCGTGATTCTTGGAGAGATTCTAAAACCCTCGGGCTGGTTTGTCGTACCCCGTATGCGCGACGCTTCAAGTTGGCAAAGTTGGGTTAATTGCGAAATGATATTGCAGCGCAATATCATCCATTATGATTAGAATGGCCATCCAGTTACCACACTGAGACACAGCATGAATTCCAAACCTGAACGAGAATCGAGTATTAAGGTATTTGAACGGTTTGGCTAATTGAGTCCGCACCTTGATATCCTTCCTCGATCTCAGCCATGCCAAAGCGTCGGGGTCGAGCTTGAAGCTGATCACCTTCGCCACGTGGAGCACGTTTGAGTCATTGCAGGGTGGGTGACTGAAGTATCCTTTATTCCGCGGCGACAAGGGAAGGAGTGCGTTCACGGCGAGCGTGTTGCAATTGTACAGGCTGTCCAGAAGATAGAGGGACAGCCGGCTGAATTGTTTGAGCAATTCCTTCTTCAGGGCTTCATTCGCGAGGAACAGGGGTTCGAAGTAGTACCTAAAACAAATGTACGCCTTTCGTGGACATGAAGTTGTAACAAAACCTGGAAGGCTAGAAGATCATGTAAATATTACTCATCAATCTGAGATTGTTAAGAAGGTGGCTATCGCCTCGAGCAACAAAGGGTACTTCCAGACAGACTAGTGTTATGCATGTGCGTCTAATACTTGAGGTACTAAGGGAAGATAAAAATCAGACCCCCTGAATTGAAATTCTGACTCATAATTATTGTAGAGGACCCCAAGGGAGGTCCTTGGAGTCACTTTTTGACACTCAGGTGAAGCGCCTGACCGTGGCGAAACGTCTAAGGTCGCGATTCGCAAGCCTTTGAACGTCTTCATCTGGGAAGCTCCTCGTCGTAAAGGCAAGAAATCTCCGTCGTGCTCCTCGTCACAGAACATGCGAAATGATGAGCCCGAGAAGTTGCTCTTCCCTTCCCTCCCCGAGACGCACGAATTCCCGACGATTTGTGCCTCACGGATCACCTTTTTCCCTCACTCGTTCTCCGTAAAAACCCCTCACCCGGGAAAAGCGTGCTCCAGTTTTCGGAAACCGCCCACCTTCGTCTCTTGTGCCAAAAGGCGTGATGGTTCAACGAGCCGTTTTCCCAGTACGTTCGAAGATATGCCCCTCCCAATTTGTGCAAAGTACCCCACCTTCATGGTCATTCCTCAAGAACGAAAGGGAAATCGAACATTTTGTTGGAGAGTTTGGTCGAAAAGCCTATCGAGCAGCTTCAGGTCCGTTTTAAAGAGAACCTATTCATTCTACTATGATCAATCCTTAAGAATTTTACTGAACTCAAGTCTGAAAATGTCCGACATATCAGCTATATAAAGTGGTATTTCTTCTCCATCCAATCCATCAATGAAATAAATCATCACGAGCTAAATTTTTCATCAAGACTTCACCTGGTACCCGGTGCCATAGAGAGGAGTCGCCCCGCAAGAGTGGAACCCGATCGTCCGTAGGCGATTAAGAGCACCTTCACAGAGCTGTTGCCACGGTCGATTCCCTGCGTTTTCCCGCTCCAATCTACAGGCAGGACCAGAAACCGCACGACTCCATTGAAACCAGACAATATAGAAAAAAAAGGAATCTCCTGCATTCAAAATCGACGCCTTCGAAACGGGTTACGAATATTTCGGAAGTGGAATGGTAATTTTTTCTTCAAGTGAACAATGAAACTCTTTTATTTTAAAAGACGATAGGGGATCAAAAATATCCCGGACCGGTTACGTAACTATTTCATTTCTTGGTTCGCAGCTATGTATTCTCGTAATTTTCTTGTCTTTGTTTTGGAGATTGTATGCAACAATTTTATTTTTATATTCTGGTCGTGTTTAGATTTTAAACACTCTTTTTCGGATGAAGGTTATGGTGAAGTTGAATCAGAAATGTTCAGAAAAACCTTACATTTCGAGTGGCACAGAATTATTGACTGGAAAACGGGAGATTTTTGCCAAAATCCGGGAACCTCGAAGACAATCGAGCGACCCAAGCGAAAAAAGCCCTTCAGGGAGTGCCCGAATGTTGAATCCGGAGGAAACTAAGCCACGATATGGAAATCCCTTTATCTTTAGGTAGTTCTTGAATCGTCACTTTCTTAGTTTCGTTAAAGGTTTTATTTTCCATTTTCGTTCCTCTATTCAACATAAATCGATAACCGACAGTCTCAGGCATCTGCTCCGAAAGGAGCAACAAACTTTCCAAGCGTTTCTTTCGTGTCAACATACCACGAGATACGAGATTATTGTAAATTTATGCATAAAGTAATGATGAAGTACAGAGACGCTTTGGAAACCCGCCGATCACCATCTTAGACTCGTCCGGCCCGGGCCTGGCAATAGAGTAAGAATAGAGGAGAAACGCACGGGCAAGAGTGCAATAGAGAAGTGCCAATGCGAGCGCAGAAAGGAGGACGCACTGCGGCCGGGTGCGGGCCATCCTCGGTGCCCAATGCTTGCCTGTGCCGTGCCGGCGCGGATCTCGCTTCATTTGCGCTGATACAATAGGAAGTAATTGCTTGAGTTGAAAAACGATGTCGAGACACTCCGAGATTCAATAGTTGTACTTTACTAGGCCGTCTTTCAATACAATGATTTGCATATGTCTTTAATGATTTCCATATGCTTCTTCTTGGAAGCATATAGAAAATCGTTGCAATTCCAAGAAGAAGTGAAGTATTCAGTTCGATTTAATTCCAGTGTCGACCGCATTTTCTCGGGGAATGCTATTGATATGACGAATTGCAACACGATGCTCGTCGGGGTCAGTTTACGGCTGATACACGGAGAGAGGGAAATAAAAACTCACTCGACGAGAAATAGAAGAGCAACAAATAATGGATGAGCCACACGAAGTGTGGAAGAGCGACTGAGCCGTTGTGACGCGTTGCACGCCGCGGATTTCTCGGAGGATTAAACCAAGCGGAATTTCATGGAAAATGACGTCAGGCGCAATGGCGGTAAGCTGACTTGACAGACATCATACGGAATTTTTTCGCGCTTTCTCTCCTGAGACATCCAATCATTATTTTTAAAAATTGTGCTCCACAGCGGTGACGAAATTCGAGTTCCTTGAGGGCTTTGACGGAGTTTTTCCTTCGCGATGTTACAATCTTTATTTACATTCGTTTTCGTTGCCGTAAAAAAAAGAATAGTCCAGAATACAATGTATTCTGGACTATTATTTTTTTTTAAACGATTAAATTTGAACTCATTCACTGCTCTGGAGTTTGACGTTCGGTTGGTTGAGGAAGAAAACCTCTAGAAGAAAAGCACAATCGAATATCATTAATGTCATCATCACGATTTCTTTCCATTTCGTTTCTGTTTCTTTTCATACTGTTTCTGGTTCTGTTTCGTTACCCAGCCCAGCTTAAAATTTCTGCATTCCTGGCAGAAAACGCTAGGCAATGCAATAAGAGATGCTACCTCTCCCTCGCGAGTAACAATGCACCTTTCTTCTTCCTCTTTATCCGAGAGATGGCGAGACGAGAGCGAAACGGCGAATTTCCATGAAAGTTGCCTCCCCTCCCTTTCGTGAAGCTAATTTACCAATTTCATTTGGAAAAGGCACATCCTAGGCTGATAAGGAAGAGTTCCGCCGAAACCCCCGGTTCAAATGCCGAAGCGTTAGGCCCGTAGAGCTGTCACACACACACACGCGAACACACACTCACACACACGCACACACACACACACACACACACACACACACACACACACACAAACGCACAATTGTCGCTCGGCCTAGCCAGCGGCCGGGATCGCGCACGCTATTTGTGTAACCTTCGGACGAGGTCCTCCGGTTTGAATGACAGCACTTTGCATATAGTGATACTTGACATTGCTCTTTGAACATCTTTGTCGGAGGAGCATAAGCTCCTGTGAAAATACCATCAGCTCATTTGTGCAAACCATTTTTTTTTAGACTGAAACACAAGCAATTCAAGTATCAATGTCGCCTTACAGAAGGCCGCATTGTGATAATCAACACCTCTGATATGAATTTATTCAGCTACTTTGTGAATGAAGCAGGAGCAAATAAGTGGGCCCAGAGCACTTCTCATTTAATGCTTCTTTGCTGGCAAATGATTATCCTTTATCAATGTTGCCAACTTATAGGCTCGCACTCGGCTCAAAGTCAAGGAAATCAAGAACACATTCTACATGAAACCATTCCCTATCAGTAGCAACAAGCCATTTATCGTGGAAGCAGCTAGCAGAGAAAAGGTGATATTCATAGAAACCAATATATGCCAAGGTGTTACAGTGCATGTTTAGGCCCCGATAAAAGATTAGAGGTTCATCCAGGCCCAAAAATGACCATGTGGCATGTGCGCTTAATTTTCTCTTTCGACCTTTTCGTGGCATGATAAGGGAATTAATTTCCTCGGGAAAAAAAAAAATTCAGTCAAGAAATCCGCATATATTCAAGATTCAAGATAGCTAGTGATATCAAGAGGCGATTTCGCCCATTTCGATACCACGTGTCGAGGTCGAGCGCTCCTTAATTTTAGGGTAGGCCTAACCCTCTCAAAGCTATATATTTTTGTATTGTTTTTTTTTGTTTTGCTTTTTTTTGGTTTTTTGTTATTTGACTATCCTAAAGAGACTATCCTAGTTGCTTACTGTCTAATGCCTAACGTCAACATTGCCCCCCACCTTTTTGCCTGTCCATGAAAGCATCTAGTTTCTTCTTAAAGATAGTCACAGCGCGGAGCAGCCACTACTTCGTCATCTAACGCATTCCACGCGTTCACCACTCTGCAAGTAAAGAATTCCTGTCTCGACCTGAGCCACACCTGCGGTTGAAGCAACTTAAGTCGGTTACTTCTCGTTCTCTCGCTGCATTTACTATCCTAGTTGCTTACTGTCTAGTACCTAACGTCAACATTGCCCCCCACCTTTTTGCCTGTCCATGAAAGCATCTAGTTTCTTCTTAAAGATAGTCACAGAAGGGGCAGCCACTACTTCGTCATCTAACGCATTCCACGCGTTCACCACTCTGCAAGTAAAGAATTCCTGTCTCGACCTGAGCCGCACCTGCGGTTTGCGCAACTTAAGTCGGTTACCTCTCGTTCTCTTGCTGTCATCAAACTGGAAAAACCTACCACACTCGACATTATCTATTCCTTTAATTATCTTGAAAGCCTGGATGAGATCGCCCCTCCTTAACCTTCGTTCGAGCGAGTACAGTCTCAACACTTCTAAGCTTGAAAATTATCTTAAAGCGCAAACTTGTCGCAGTTGTCAGCATTTAAGTCTGCTACCACGTCATTTCATGCGACTTTTTAGGGGGATCTGTCAACCCAAAATTGGCTTGAGCAGCCATTCTGTTTTTTATTTGCTCAGGCCTACCCAAACTGCGAGGGTCATCGCTCTCCCCATTGGGGGTGAACTTTTTCAGCTTCCATTCATATTTCAATTGCCAGAATCTCTCAGTCCAAGTTAACATGAAAGTCAAAAAAAAAATTTTAAGGGTAGCAAGTAGGACTTGAAACAGGTTAGAAGAAAAAAAGGTAAGTACTGCTACAAGGAAGCAGTGGCTTAGCGAGGGGGCATCAGCCCCCCCCCAACTCCGGTCTAAATGCATCCGCTACCCCCACCCCACCGGGTGAAGAAGAAGCGCCCCACTGTTCTGCTTAACCCCCCCATTGGCGAAACCCTGGCTACGCTACTGCAAAGAAGAAAGATACTTGAGTTCTTGCGCCAAAAGCTCTTGCAAGTTAATGAAGGAAATGTCTGCTTCAGACAAGCTCACGGTGGAGAATTGAGGATTTTCGCCGCATGGTACTTAAAAACCCCAAGGCCCGCCTGACAGAGGCATAGCCACGGTCTCACTTTGATGGACTTTTATTAATATTAATTGATGGAATGATAATAAAGTGGAGTTTTAGGCATGGACAGGGATGATAAAAAAGGGGAATCTGAGTTCTGCCTGGTCTATTTATTAGGTTTGGTACTTTCTGAAAGCTTAGAAACCTTCAGCAAGCCACCAGTGCCCACAGAACTATTTGCATCTCAGAAGCCAAGTTTACATATTCCTGTCCCTGTAGTGGGGGTCATACTCCCTGGCTACATCATTGCTCAAGTGTCATGACAAATGGATCATAACCCTTGGGACTCATTAGTGTATCTCACCATTCAACATTACAGCAGCAATGAGCTCAAAAAGCCCCTCTTAGATTTATTTGCAATATGTAGACCTCCATCACTTACCTAACCACCAAAGGTGGGTACATTGGTGCAAACAAATTTTTCATCCAGTTTACACTTCCTGTAGTTTGCATCAGCATAGGAAAGAAGTTGACATGAGGAGAAATAATCAAAACCCAGAATGGTTCTGTTTTCTGTACATTTGTTTATTACAAAAGAAACAAAATATTCGTTCAATTACAGCCACGATTTCAACCATGAAAGGATGTGAAAAATCTCCATAGGCATACAATAGGCAATGCATTGGAAGAAGAGAAATCCTCACACTTGATGCTTCTCCTCTCTATATGCTCCTCTCGCTCAAAAAAAAAAAAAAACAAAGCTATGAAAAGGAATTGTCCAAGCCAGGAGCCAGTCCACTGAGACAGCATCCATTCCAGGATTTAATAATGTTTCGATTATACACACATCCAAAATTGAGGGTCCCGCTGAACTTTGGCAGCACTACATTCTGATTTGGATAGGAAAGATTGATACATGATCCACCTGTTCTGGAAATAGGGTACCTCGCATTCTGACAAGGGGAGAGGAGATATGCAGAGAGAACAAAAACAAAACTGTCAAATAATAACCATTAAAACTGAAGAAGCAATGCAAATAATGACTTGCACATGACAAAAATTACAAGAAGCGACACTTTCCCTTCTTCCTTTTCTTCACCTGCAAAACAAAGAACAAGAGATTAATAACAAAATTAAGATTGTTTTCATGGAATTGCAATGTAATGCTGACTGAACATTAACAGTAAACATAACTGAAGGTTGCATTCCACTTAACTCAGATACCCATGCTTGGAAAGTACTCCATCGTATGGGTGTCAGAGTTAAGTGAAACACTATACTTGCAACATTGATCTAGCTACACCATAATAAAACTAACAGCTACCCACATCATACCAGTCATATAATAATTAAGATTAGTAGGAGCTGGACATGATCCTCCAAGACCATATGATATCTTGCTAAAGCTCTTATTAACTGATGAACACAAGTTTGCCAATATGAAGATTGGTGTGTGAACAACTGGCAACACTGCAGCAAGGTCAGTGTCAATCAATCATATTAATACTAAAGAAATGAATGCTCTTTGTTCTCAACTGAAAAACCATGCTTTGTTAAGGCTAAGGTGGCTGCTGAATATAAGAGTCATATCCCAAAGCATGAAAATGTTTAAGCAGAAATATTTACCAGAAATATCACACTCACAAGAAGTTTGTACCATTCATTACTAATGTTTGCTAATAAACATCACATTCAGTGCAAAACCAACATTTTTTGGTGCACAAAGAGAAACCACCATTGTTAGATGCCACCTCATGGTGTTGACAGGGTGAAACACCTATTAGAGGGGGGAATTGACTTTCCTTTTCTACAGTGGATAGCTAAATAGCATCCATCCTCTTAGTCTGTAGGGTTGTCTCATACTGTGCCAGCACAGTGCAATATAATAGCTAACTGCTTAGGTATGCCATGCAGTCTTTGTTCCATTTAAATACTTGGGCCTATTGCAACTTCTCCCTGATGCCCACAGCATTAATGAGGACATCAGACCTCCCACATGACCACCTCCCCTACCAATTAGCAATCCCATCTCCACTGGTCAGGACATGTCCACTGAGCATTCTCATCTTCCCTTACACTCCATAGTACTTTACTTCTCACTGCAGTTACAGTTGCCTTGAAAATATCCTTAAGAGGTTTTGAGAGGAATGTCAAAAGCTCAATCTGATCTCCACAGTGGAGCTCCCTATTCTTGCACCAGACTGGCCATATTCATAAACAGGTTTTCCATAACTTGATTCATTTACCAACTTACCAATAATTCTGAGATATGAAGGAGATAACCAATAATTTCCTTATTTCCTTTGTAAGAAAACATGCTCAAAGAGGCAAGTAACATTATTTTTCATGTTAATGAACATCCAGAGAGGACAAGTAATGCCATATACCTGGAGAGCAGCTCGAGTGGCTGTTTCAAACACTTCCCGTACACCCTCTTTGGTTTTGGCCGAGCATTCCAGGTAGGCGAAGGCATTGATCTTCTCTGCCATGGCTCTGCCCTCTTCGGATCTCACAGGCTCTTGCTTCATCTTGGACAACTCCTTGATTGTCATGGGATCATTCCGCAGGTCCTGCCATTCAAGAAGGAAGAAAATAATTGTACTTATCCACAATAGACACTTTATCATTAGGTCTTTGAATAGAGTGAATGAAAGCTGGTAGCAAAGTTCTAAAAAATCATATGTTGCTGTTTCAGAAGTGGCAGATCAACAAGCACCCCTAAAGTCAAGCATCACAGGGAAATTCACATGTTTGGATTTCTGTTTGTTTTTTTTCAAATGAAACTGATAGTGGAAGATGTCAATAAGGACAAATGTATGAAAATAATTTTCAGGTGTGGAACAAGCAGTCTGTAAGAGGTTGCTAAGAGGTTCAACAGTGAACACATTGAATAAATGTTACTTATGTCAGTGCAAAATGTGAATTACCCAGTAATGCTTGATTGATGAGATACTCTTCAGGAGAAATTGGTCACCCTAGCTTACTTTTTTATTCCCAACGAGGATGATGGGCACATTGGGGCAGAAGTGCTTGACCTCAGGGGTCCATTTCTCAGGGATGTTCTCCAATGAATCAGGAGAATCAACTGAGAAGCACATCAGGATCACGTCAGTATCAGGGTAGCTCAATGGGCGAAGTCGATCATAATCTTCTTGTCCTGCTGTATCCCATAATGCCAGCTCAACCTAGAGAAGCAATATGACAAGTCAGCAAAATGCTCCACTGAGAATCATTGTCATTGTATTGGAATTGATCACAGGCATTGTAACATGCATGGACTAATCCTCTCCTAATTCCCAGTTCAAGAAGAATCCAGTATCAGAGGGAAAAAAAAAACTCCATTGAGAAGTCCCATCCTAGAATCACTGGTAATAAAAAGCTTCCTTGAGGAGCACCATGAATGCAACAAAATAAGTATTGAGTATATTTGAACAAAAGTTTCAGTCACTAAAGGGTTCTGAGTTACTGATGAAAGGGCACCTTGGCCCTTACTATTGCTCTATTTATAGGCATGAGAAGTTTCATCAATCTACCCAAATATGAGACATGACCTCATTTTCAATAGAGCTTGGTGCAAGGAAGTACTACACTACATTCTAATTTTAAAATTTAGCTACCATGTTATTGAATGATGACCAAATCTAGAACGTGTCCATCATCATTTGCAATGGGAAACCTTGTCAATAGTGAAAAATGGTTTTGACTTTCTTGAAAGCCAAATGAAGAATCATGGAGCTGATATGGGATAGAACCACAAGAGCCACCAATGCTCCATGGACACACTTTCTGATCTCTATTGCTAGAACTGTTTGCATTCATTAAGCCCTTCCATAACTCTAAAGCCTTCCCAAGCAATAACTGCCTCCAATCAAATTTACTAGGTAGTATTTTCAATAATGAGTTTTGATGTCCTCATTCATCCTCCAATGGAGGGTATACTAAAGAAAGCTCTAAATTTTCATAATTCAAGCAAGGACAGGAAACAATTTCTGTTTGGATTTTTCTCCCAAGCAAATTGACAATAATTCCATTACGATACCAAGACACCAATTTTTTAAATTGTCCAAACTCTCAAATGGCCTTGGCTGTTGATGTTGCTAAGAAAGGAACTTATCTGTCACCATTTGCATGAGAGCATTATTAGCACCATTGCTTCTCTGAGCATCAGCCTAAAAGGTGGCCCCCACCATACATATTAAAGGTCATGGGAACTCACCTGTTTTCCATCTACTTCAATGTCAGCTACATAATTCTCAAACACAGTTGGAACATAGACTTCTGGGAACTGATCTTTGCTGAACACAATTAACAAACAGGTCTTTCCACAGGCACCATCACCCACAATGACCAATTTTTTTCGTATTGCTGCCATCTTTGTCCAGGAATAGAATCTAGAATGAACATCATATCATGAGAACAACTTGAATACAGGTAGGTCTAGTGAAATGTGATGACTCAAGTCAGCCTACTGCATTTTTAACTTGCATCTACCCCCTGAATAGGAATACTGGGAATACAATGAGTAATGCTATTCCCCCTTTTTTCATATTTACCAATATTCAGAATTTCTCAAGTCTCCCATGAAACCAAAAATCACTGTCACTTGCATGTTCCTGTGAGTTAGGGTTATTGCCCTTCACCCTGCTGAACCATCCTATTTTTTGTTTGTCTTATTTAAAATATACTTTCTTACTCAATGACCATAGGCATAGGTGAGCAGTAACAAATCTCCAAATGAAAACCTATGAAATTCTGACTCCTGCTGCTGCCTTCCAGGACCAAGGTGCCATTTCCCAGGCCAATGAAACTTGATATTTTCAAAGAAAATTTTGCTGTATATAAATGCTATGGTCATGTATTTAGGTGAATTGCTAAAGGTTTTACATAATGATGGGTGTAGGAGGAGTAATGATGTCAGTAACATGCTGCAGATTTTGATCGAGCTGAACAGGCACAGAGCATCATGTTGCAGCAGGGCCTGCACACTGTATTCAATGAAGACAAACAGAAATGGGAACTGGCCCAGAAGTCCAGTTGTAAGCAACCAGTTCGGTGTCAAAGGCCAAAGAGTGAGAAAGTCAACCTATTCTGGAGACTGATAGGTTGTGGGCAAAGGCTGCAATTATTTTCTAACCCAACTGACCCATCCATCATTCTCCAAAATAGGTTGACTTTCTCACTCTTTCAGCCCAACATAGAAGGAATGCAGCTCCCTTGGTATGTGTTTATAGTTAGTCCTACGTGGTGTGCTTGGGTTAAGTGAAAACCTAAGAAAGTTAGTGAAACATTAGTCTGAGTCTCTAGCTCTGAAGTGATTATGGAATTGATTAAATTATGAAATCTTATGGATGGAAGGGGCAGAGGTTGCACAGGATGGGATAAGAATGGAGGCAAGGACAGACAGTGTGCTCTGCTCCTACCATTTAAAAAGGCATGCTTGTAGCAGTGTGAGTAGTCCCAGTAATGCAATTAAAGGTTATGTACAATTATCTCAGGCAATACTGACAGTAAGCAAAATCCTGTAATGTTTTGCAGGAACCCATGAACACCTCTTTCATGCATGTTATGACTCAATTGAAAAGTAAGAAGTTGTATTGTCTAGCGAAATGGCACCTTAACCACTTTCCAGAATGCTTATACCCCTGTCCAAGGCTTTCTTATGCTTCCAATTAATCCTGAAATGAGCTCCTGATCCTGCCACTCCCACCTTTCTACAATTTATGAAATTAGACCCATTCATGGATATGCACAGAAGTGTAGTTTAACTGAAATGATACAAGAATGAAGAAATGGAGAAATTGCATTGTGCATGGTGTGTGTAGGGATGGCCTTTTATGTGCAACTTATACTCTTAGTAGTCTTTCCAATATCTCAGACAGTAAAATAAATATGACACCACCCTTTGTCCTCACATACATCAGGAACATTGTAGTGTGCATGGCATAGGGACATAAAATGCACGTGCCAACATAGATATGTGCATATTTGCAATGCCTGAGCAGGATGGTATGCAGGTATGTAGCCTTTCCCTGTCTGGTTCATTTGCAATGTCTTTTAACCCCTTAACTGGGAACTTTTGAACGCATATGTGCGGTGATTCCATTGAGAGAAGGCAGGTGCCAGACTGCACATATGCGGCGAGTCCATTTAAGGGGTTAATGGCAGCCCATAACATGGCCTGTGTGAGTCGATTTAAGAAAGTAAATGTAAATAAATAGAAGGTGAATTTTTCGGAGTATTGTCCACAGTGGATGAAGCGGTCTCAAACACCAACTACACCCCTTTACTTGTCAACCCACCTTTTCATTACATTAGCTTTGTTTCAACTACAGCCTTTCCTGGGATTCAGGTCGTTAATTATCAAAATGTCATGCTTCCCAGGATAACCTGGCTCAACTGTCTTGACACTACTCCCAGGTTATACAGGTTATCTGGGGTAGGGAATCTGGCTGTTCTGACTGAGTGACATTTCCTGGGAGTCCATTCATTCATGGAGATGTATTTAATGACAATCTCCTGCAGGCTACACCTTAGTGCACTCTCAGTTGAGAAGACCAGCAAGACAGTAGAAGATTAATCTGGTAGAAAGCTTTTTGCGAGTGATAATTTTTGCGATCTGCTCAGTGAGGATCTGGCTTGGCTTCTTTGGCAAGGAGAATATATGCTTTCCTATTCCGTTGAGTGCAATCAAGCATGCGTTGAATATTAAGATCGCAAAATAGAAGCAGGAGAGTTTGCATATCTTTCTCACTCCAAACAGTAGGAACACTCATTATGAAAAGGAAAAAAACGGACGCAAGCAGAAGGAGGAGTTCAGCACGCCTGTCAAATTATGCTTATCCCACTAATGCATTTTGACTAAGATCTGAGCCTGGGACAGTCCCAGAATGATCCTGGGATTGACCGGTTTGCCAGGCAGCGTTTCTCATAGCGGGAGGGGGGTGAATGTTGGCGTTTCAACTAATCCCAGAGGCTGACTATCCCAAGGCAATCCCAGGATAATGGCTCAGTCGAAACAAGGCTATTACCTTCTAATATACTTGGGCTAATTTCAAGTAAGGTCAAACCCTCTCATTGAATATAATAAAATGAGAAAACTTCACCATATTTTTCTCCAACTATTTGTCACACAAAATTTAGCATGCATCCTAACGTTAAAAGTCCCACTAAATCTTTGGATTACAGAATCGACTTCCCACTTGTCTGGATCGACTACAAGGAATGTAGGCCTACAATAAATACATGTTTGTTGGTTAGGCATAGGTCTAACATACGTAAGGAGTACACATAGGCTACGCAGTTGTTGAACCAGACAGGCCCATCGTGAACATTAGCCTGCGCCTACCATGGCCTGGGCGCTAACGTTAGCCTAGGGTATCAGCTGGTTCCTGTCTCCAGATTATGGCTATGGCGCACGAACAAAGCGGATTAAGTAGAGATGCCATGGAAACATTCTGAGACGAAACTGTCCCGCAATAAAAATGTCTTCAATCCCGTAAAACGGCAGAATACGGCGACGTTTTCGTTAGCCCATCAGTCACGGGCCGAACCTGAGCAATCACTTTGGAATTTGTGACGTCACGGACGGAGAGAACAAGTGGACTTTTTGATTCAGCTTGTCATGCGCCGGTCAGAGACTTCGCTTCTTGCGTGCAAGTTATTCTCAAATTCGAATTTATTTCATTTCCCGAACCGTCTACTTCAGCTTTTAATAATTTCTTTTGATTCGTACAGCGCTGTAGACGTTACAAAGAGGGTCAAGGCCCGGAAGACGCTTTGCACACAGAGCGCCATCTGTGCGCAGGCAGCTCACCCAGCTTGTTCCATGTACCAAGCCCTTTCCAGCCCATCCCTGGCCGGTATATCTTATCAACTCACGTCTTGAGTCATTCAGTTCTTGGAACTCGACCGTGGGAGTCATTTTGCGACTCGGAAAAGCCCTAGTGTTTAGATATTCATATCGGTCAGTCGTTTAAATTCATAAATACGGCTAATCTCGTCGTGACATCGACCGATGATAGAAAAAAAAAGAGTCAAAATTCAACAAATACAATCAGCGAAAGTTTGACGGAAATCTGGGCACCAAGGACGGACCCGTGCACGAGACGTTAGCCGGCCGGGCCGTCGACAAATCAGAACCGGATGGGTGTGGTCGCGAAAAGGACGGAACGAGAGGTAGGACGGGGGCAGTCACACGGGGTTCCTTGACCACCCGGCCTGAGTATTCCTCGGGGCGAAAGAGTCTCTCCAGTTCCCCCTTGCTCCCCTCTTCGCACGGATCTTCCCTCCCTCCACTCTCCCTTTCATTCACTTCCCGTGAGTGCAGGTGGAAGAGACTTCCTTCGCATCCGTGCCAGTCGGTGCGTTGAGTGAGTTCCTGTTCGTGCTCGAGCGACGGCGCTGGTCGCCGGGGAGTCTGCCCTCGAAATGTCCTCGGTCTTTTCCGTCTTATGCATGAGTCGTGTCGGTGACACGAAATTTGAAGTTAATTTAACGAATCGAATTCGAGGCTCGTCGGTCGCAGAGTTTCTTTCTTTGCGCCACCAAGCCCTGAAATAAACTTTCGCGGCAAACATTAACGACAGAAGTCGTCACAGCAAACAAAAACTCTCGGCAGGGCGCCAAGGCCACCTAAATGCAGTTGGGCCAGGGAAACGTGCCCAGTAATAAGCTGCGTGCCACCGCGAACGCGTCGGAAAATCCGCAAGTGCCTCTGGGAGTCTGCGTTGTGTCAGGGTGTGCGTGTTTTTTTTTTTCATAAATCTATTGGGAGGTTTGAGGTCGGGATTATTTCTCGTTAGGGTCGACGAATGCGGAGAAATGCTTTTGTCTCCCCGGTCACGTTCGTTAACTTGTTCCACGCGAGAAGTCCAGTTTCTTCCGTCCGCGATGAAGGAATCCAGAAGCGATCGATATTCCCTCGCGATCGCCTCAATTCCCTCACGATCGCCTCAATTCCCTCGCGATCGCCTCAATTCCTCCATACGAACCGAATATCAACGGGAATTCTGCCGAGCCGGTCGAATTCTGCGACTTTGTATTACTGTTTTCGAAGAGGAAGTGCTCATTTAATCTCTGTCACATTCGCACTCCACCAATGATTCCGTTCCGTCACTTGTCCCGGGAACGCGGCAACGCAGCTGTTCGAGATTTGTGGGTGCATTCCGCCTGACAGGCTGACAGGCGGAAGGGCTTTTTTTTTTCTTGCAGGCTGCACTTTATTGCTCGGAGCCTGGATTCTGGCCAGTGTGCCGGATTCTGGCCAGCGTGCCGGATTCTGGCCAGCGTGCCACATTCGCCGGTTCCCGCTCTGGGAACGCGAATTCTTACGACGGCATTTTCGTGTAAAGTTTGTGGTAAACACTGTGAATGTACCATTCTGAAGTTCAAAACGGCCAGAAATTCCGCGATCGTGGCGAATTCCGTTTCGTCCGAGAGTCTCCGACCCTAATAAACCATTCCCAAAAAAAAAACTGCAACATGGCCCACCGAATTCTCGGCGGAAACGAAACCGGAGAGACCAGAGCCAACAAAGGGCCCGAAACCCTCGGGGCTCGGGATCTTTCCTGGCGAACACATTTTCTTTTCCCCTTTTTTGGAAAGGCTCATGACTCTTGCAAGGAACCTCGGCAGGTCAATGGTTCTTTTTTTTTTGCCGAAAATGGAAATATGGCTTTCTGAAAGAAAACGAGTCGCTTCTGTCGCAATATATTCTCTATGGTTTTTAAATACGCGTAACTTATTCATTTATTGCATATTATTATTATAACATTTATTGCATATTATTATTATAACATTTATTGCATATTATTATTATAACATTTATTACATATTATTATTATAACATTTATTGCATATTATTATTATAACATTTATTGCATATCTGATGATCTTCCGGCGCTTTTTTTTTTGGAATGACCCAGTTTCGAAGGGAGTCTGTTCTTCTTCTTAACAAGGGGTGAGGGGGTACTGGATGGCATTTTCTCGGCTCGTTTCATCATCATCATCAGGTTATATCTGAATGTTCCCTTTCTCGTTAATTACATATATATTATTTTAATGAATCGTGTAATTTCCAGCTTACCCTCTTGATAATTACCTCTAAAATGCTTTTCCCTTCGCCAGAAGCGCTCCGAAATACCTGCGTTTCACTTTCCCCGTAATTTTCGAAAGTTTATCGTGCGATGCCCCCCCCCCCCCCCCCACCGATACGATATCTCCCAGCGTTGCCGCTCTCCCGCGTTCGAAACCCAAAACTCAGACCCGTGTGCAATTGCCAGGGCATGGAGTCGCTCCGCGTGCACGCGTGAACCGCAACACGGCGAAGATGGCGATCGGGCTGCTTCCCCACATGATCCTCAGTTCCCTCTGCCTCTCGACCAACATCCTCTACCATGAATTGCTGGGTAATTTATTTAATTTATATTATTTTATTTTTTTCTCTATTTTTATTTCTGGTTCGACGAAGTCTTGAGCGAATTTTGAAATTTTCTTTGCTGCTTCGTAGATGGGACGTTGCTGCGTCTGCCGCAGAAGAAGGATCTGGGACTCCATCAGTCCCTGTCCGATGTTGCCGTGAGTCCGTTTCTCGTGTCCTTTGACCTTTTTGCGGCGCCGATGAAAGGTCGCAAGTCTTCTTGCAACCTTTTTTTTGGCGGAGTATTGCGACTCGCGCGACCACCCGGCAGGAATCGGCAGGAAATCCTCTCGCCCCGATTATTTATTTGCTCGGGACACACGTGACTCGGCGTCCTTTTCCGCCTTTTTCCGCCGTTTCCGCCTTTTTCCGAGTCTCAATAGAAAGTCTCGGTCGGGAGAAAGTCTCTTTGTTGATGTGAGACTTGCGAATGTTTTCTCTCTTTCGTCGGGGTAGCCAGATCTCGTACCATACGCGGAGCAAGGGTTACTGGCCCTGAAGGAAATCCAGAGACATCTGGACATGGAAACGAACGCGTGGGAAATCGTCAGCGATGAGGACGGGATCGTCGTCAGGGACTTCTACCACCCCGAATACAAGAAGTTCATTTATCTCACCGAGGTCTCAGACGCTTCTTAGCGCGGCTGTAATTTATCTTTCCGGCCTGTCATGCCAAATGTTGTTTTGGTTGTTTTTTTTTTTTTTCGAAGGCGAAAATCGAGGCCAGCCCTCAACGGTTGATGGAGGAGTATTTTCTGAACTGGCAGGGGGTGGCTTCTTGGAACCCCGGAGTCTCCGTCTTCGAAAGGGTCAAGGTGAGTCTCGCGGTCGGTTTGGGCGCGTTTTCGCGGATCTGGGGGCGAAAGCGGCGATGCGAGAGAGTCTGCGAGGCGGAACAATTGCAATTATTCGATGCAGCGATGAGAAAAAAAAAGTTTTTCGAATTTTAGGGTGAGTGAGACGAGTTCTGACCCTGCCATGAAGTCCTTGAATGTAACAAGGAATCCAATCCATCTTTTTCAACCTAATTACACCAACCGGTTTTGGACTGTTTCATCCCCGTGATGCACCAAAATTTTGTATTAAGAAACAAATTTTTCTGATAATTTTCTATAGTTCACCCCTTTGTACTCCACAAATGCACAGCTTAAAAAAATACAAAAATTGTATAGTTCAGAAACAAGTGTTTTTCGCAGAGACTACTGAATGCAAATTAAAAATTATTGTTTTATTTAGCAGAATGAGATGTGGCTCCCGAACTTTGTTCTCCAGAATGTTATAATACATGTAATACATATTCACAATATATACATGTAAAGAAGAAGTAATGCGCTCTGTCTTGGTAATTTTACTTCTTCTCGTGATACTTTCCCCCCCCCGTGAGCGGCTTGTGTATCATGGGCATAGTTCTCCCATGACGCGAACCGGGTGTGTCGTGTTTGTTCAAGGGGTTAAGGGGGACGGGATTCGTCTCAGCCTTTACGAGCGTTCCTGGCATCGTGCGGTTCGGTCGTGTTATCGCTCCGATGCTGGTTCTCCCCAATGAACTAACGAGGACGGCATTCGCACGCCCTACAAATCGTCTTCCATGCGAGATTTCAAAGTTGAATGGAGATGGAGGCAGGAGGAGGCAGGCACGATCGCGAGGAGCTCTCTCGCGGCGGAAGGCTCCCGTGCGGCGGCCGCTCGTCGAGACGATGCTCGTCACGTTCTTCGCGTGCACGTGGGTGCCGCGGGGTCGGGGAGTCGATCGTTCCGATCTGCAGGAACTGCCGAAGACTGCCCCAGCATGGAGTCTCCCGTGAAGGTCGAACGTTACGATGTGAAGGGCATTCCATGGAATGTGCACGCCACTCTTTGTACCATCACGGTCGAAGAGTTCCACAGTTGCAGAAACGTCGTCCCGGGGGCAGAGATGACTCTCATGACGCCTGAATCGTGGAGCCACTTCCCGATCTTCTGATTTTGAAAACACATATATATTTGATTTTATCGTTACGTTCGAAAGCAGAAGTCTTTCCGCCCTTAAACTCCATCTGTTTTTCTTTAAATTATGTTCTTCGCTTTCGCACGTTCGTAACGCTTCCTTGCTCCCCGAGCGACTGAAAATAATTCTTGCACTGGGCACGACGAAAGCACGAAAATGGGGATAAAAGCCAATAATAGACCAGGGCCCTGCAAGAAGCGTCGGCACCAAAGACGAGCCCCAAGTCGACGAACGAGACGCTTCACTTCCTTCATACAAGGTGGCGATAAGCACGAGTGTCCAGTCCCAAGATTAAGGATCAGACTGGATGAGCCACTCCGTTGGCGACGTAAAGGCTTGTTCCCCGTCTGACATCCATGTTTAGTGTACCGAGCGTTGAACCGTGGAGTTACACGCGTTTGCATCCTCCCTCCAGGCAGTGCTGCCATCTCTGGGAAGAGATGGGAATTATTCTTACCCCTTGCCTTGAATAGGAGGCGCATGAGAAATTGAGCGTGTGCCTCATCCTTGGTGCCGACATTTCGGAGGGAAATAACTCCATGTTTAAAAATATGATGCAACGGAATGAGAATTAATCAAGTTTGTGTTCGATTCCGACTTTCGTGTGTAGACAGACTTTAACAAAGTCTTTTTTTTCCGTTTCCTTTTAAATTCCTTAATCCCCCGTGCAGCTGGTGAGCAACAATACTCACGTGGTGCATCAAGTAGCGGGAGAGCAGGGCTCCAGCTTCATCAGCAAAAGAGATTTCGTGTCCGTCTATTCCTGGTTTCTCATCAAAGATACCTATTACTACGTGTTCACTGCCGCCGACTGGCCTTCATTGCCGCCCACCGCGGAGCATGTCCGGTGAGAAACTCTGACGTCATCGAAATTATATTTGATCGTAACAGGGAGTTTGAATGGTAATACTGGTAATGACCGCAGCAAACATAAGCAGGCGCTAAGCATAATCAACAATAAATTAGATTAAATTATTTAGAAAAAAATTTAAAAGGGAAAAGAAGGGAAAGGAATATCAGTATATATTAATATAAATAACTTGAATAATTCCAGGGGTCGCTTTTACCCGAGTGCATTTGTGTTCGCGCCGTGGAAGGGGTCCACCGACGCCACATCGTTCCGCTACGTGGCCAACGTGGACCTCAAGATCACCTCGTGGCTGGACCCGATCTTGAGGCACTTGTTCCCCCCGAGCATGGTCGAGTACGTCCAGGCGCTGAGGAAACACGTGGAGAGTTTCACTTAATGAATGCCAAATGACTGCACTATGCTGCAAGTGGATTTATGCACAAATCACCTCCCAAAGAAGTCGACGCAGTGCCTGATGTGTCTTTGTGCGGTTCTTCCAGATTCATTGATATTCCTGAATGGTGCATTTTCATTTTTTAGGTTTTGCCGACTGTTATTATGTGGGTTTAAGAATTACATACTATTGTTGACGTGTTCAGAATAAACATGCCAGTTTTGAGAAATACATTATTCGTGGAATATTGGAGCAAAAAATAACGAGTCTGAAAGGGATTTTCCGAAGAGAAACTGTAATTGGCATCAAACCTCGCGGTCGTCTCCAGTCAAGGAACGAAGTTCAAGCAGTTTTTTTTTTTTCCTCGAGATCATTCGCAGTGCTTGCACGGAAATTTTCCAAGGAAAGACTCAGTCGAAAACGGTGAAATTATCGCTCGGGACAGTGTCGACCAGAAACATGAAAAGCGAAGGTCGATCCGAGACGGTCTCGAGAGAGACGACGGAACCGGGCGGAAACCAGACAGGGCTGTCAGGACCCACATCCCACACGAACGCATCCGCCCCCCCTCCCTCGGGGTCACACACCTCCGAGTCGGACCGGACCCGCGCCTCCATCCTCCCCGATAGGAGCCAGAGGGACACGTCACCCAGGTCCTCCGGGATGTACAGCTCCAGGCTCAGTCCTGACGAGAAATGAAAAATGTTTAACGGCAAACGGATCCCTTATAAGGCAGGCCTTATGAAGAATGGTTTCATCTCCGGGGTCAAGCAGGAGAACTGGCCCTACCACTATTGTCCTCCCAGTGCTTTCATATTTTAATGGCATTGAAGGAATGCCAACCGACTGCCAGATTAGTATTCAGAGTGGAACAAAACTACTTGACCGGCTACAAACGTCTGCGATATTTTTTCAATTGAAAGATTCTCGGTATTCTCGGTGCGGCATAACCCTTTCACTTCACAACTCAAGTTCGCTCGTGTAAGATATCCAAAATTGCTCAAATTTCGACGTTACATTACCGGTATTCGTATACAACGATTCAACGCGTCTAAAGTTGTAAAAGTATTCTGTTCGCGATTTAAAAAAAAAATCTCTCTCAGCAACGCTCCCTCTAATACGCACTGGAGCAAAAGCCACCGAAGCGATTTCCACAGACGTGGTATTAAATTTTGGAATCCTTTCGCACTGAGCTCCTTGTACCGGCAGCACTGTAAGGTATTGAGCATGATCACAATTGTGATACACAGCTTACTGCGATGCTACTAACTTCTTTTTAGGGTTGATTTTTTTGAGGGAAGATTGAGATTCTGAAAGGCATTCACGAAAGGTCGTCCTCTCCCGAGGACGACCTTTCGTGATTATGATTTCGCTATTAGCAATCCAGTAAAAACTCATCCCAAAAAGTAAAGCGAGTCCCGGATAAGAGATGCTTCTTGGAAATGACGTGTCCTTAGAGGCGTGTTCTCTATTCTTCGCAAGCGATTCTTACATCATGTTTCCTTTGATTTGGGGAAAACGGTCCCACACGATACTTACTCTGCAGTGCATGAAGGAGCTCTTGGAAGGCTTAATCCGACTCACCGGGAAAATCCGCCAGGAATAGAACCTCCATCTGCGGAGCAACCTCCTTCAGCCTATCCCGGAACCCCCGTGCGACCGGCCTCCACGACGCGAACTCCTCCAGCAGCGGCATGACCCAGGGGACCGCCTCCCACGGGGACCAGGGCGCCCCGAGCAGGTTCACCCTCGGGTCCACCACCCTCTGGCTCATCCTCCCGTTCAGCGAGCTCCAGATGTCCATGTGCACGGCGTCGATGCTCACGTTCCGGCGCGACAGGTTTCGTCGGATGCACTCGGCGTACTCGATGGCCATGTCTGCGTGACTCGCCCATCTGCCGTTCAGGACCCAAGCCTGCAATTTCAATCCCATGACTTCCAATCATTTTCTTCTGATTCCCTAAAATTGTTTTCCTTTTTTTTTCAGTTCCATTAATGTGATTTTTTTTTATAACACTAAGGATTATTTAAAATTATATTTAAATTGCGTGAGTGGTGGATTACCTGAGGATCGATGTGCCAAATTTTCCCCGTTCCGGCTTCCCTGACTGCGATTCTCGTGTGGAGTGGATCCCATCTGTGAACCATCATGTCCCATCCGACGCCGTATGGTCCTGGCGTCCAAGTCCTGTAGCCCTGCGAAACCAGTGCCACGAGGTGAATGGAAACACTTTTTACCTGCACTCGAGTCCTTTCCACAGGCGTATTAATGGCGAGTCGGCGTCGCAGGAGCCATTTCTTCTGACCAACAGCCTACAACTGCTGGTTGTGAATTATTTCTTGCGGCTTTTCTTCTTTTGAGAGGTCGCTCCCACAATTGATTTGCTAGGAGCCAGAGTGTCTCTCATCGAAATGCAGGCGTTTCGTTTGTCTACTTTGATATAATCGCCCCCCCCCCCCACTCACATCTTTGCCTCCCGCGTTGAGTCCCTTCTTTGTGACGGGCATCGTTATGTGGAAGTAACCTTGAACGGATAACGAGGCATAAAGAGATTTCCCGAGCCTGGAAAAAATTTATTTTCCTATTGTTAATGCCCCGAAATCTCTCTTTAGCCTACGAACGCCATCGATCCACACGAAAGAGATGGAGAGGGTAATCAGCGAGGCGAAGAGTTCCTCTCCGTGGAATGCGTAGGAGGCTTGCAGCAGAAGAAAACACTTACATTGTTTCCCCAACGGAAGAAAAATTCTCCCTTGAGCATTCTTTCATAATGGAGCGGAATTCTTTTTTCGTGAATCGCTTTTTCTTGTAATAGGGAGAAACGCCTTGTTTTTCTCTGGCAGAACTACTCGTGATCGTCTTTCAGCTGCGAGGACGTCTTTCAACTGCGAGGACGTCTTTCAACTGCGAGGCCATTTCTGAGCCTGAAACGGGAAAATCGATGAGGTGGCGCCTTGCACACCTGTCGCTCCATGTGCTTTCGTTCCCACCTTGAGAAGGGTTCTCAACGCATGCTTTCAGGTTCTCTATTTGCCTTTTATCTCCGTTACGAGACATTACATTCTCAAAGACCTTCTGGAGTAGACGAGAACGTTGAGGGTCACGCACCCAGACAGTGTTTTCTTTACGACTCGAAACTTGGCGATTTTGAGAACCGATCTGATAATCGATGATTGTGTCTAAGATTATCCAAGCGTCGTTCTTGGTGGAATGATGCGTAATCAGATCTTAAACACTTCAGCATACTATATATGTTTGCGGTCGCGAATGTAGGCGAAATTCATTCGAAAAATGCCCGTTCTTCGCAAAACTCTGTTCAGAGAAATGACAGATAGCGAAACGGTGTATTCAAAGTTTACTTTTCGTCGTTTGCTAATGAAGTTCGTAAGACGAAGCCTTAAGAATAACCTGCAAGACCTGGACTAAACGGCGCAAAATAAAATTGGTAAAAAAAAGCCAGATATTGTGATCGGTTTATCATTTTCTTATTTATTTCCTTTCGACTGTCCAGTTTTCATGGCATTCCATTGTTTAATCTTAATTTTTTATGTGATTTTTTAAATTTTAATTTCTCAGAAATGGTGAACTGTAGCGAGGCAAAACTTCACCTGGGCTGGTACTTGAGTTGGTTATGTGAATAATGAAGACAAGTGATCATGCCAATAACGAAGACAAGTGGTTATGCGAACAACGGAGACAGTTGATTATGCGAATAATGATGACAAGTGGTCATGCGAATAACGAAGACAAGTGGTCATGTGAATAACGAAGACAAGTGGTCATGTGAATAACGATTTAGATGGGGATTGTGAGCTTCGAGCGTGCTCTTCTCACTGTTAAAGATGCCAATTATATTGCAAAGGAATCCTTCAAAATTGGCATTTATGGGAGGATCAAGTAAATCAAAAGACGTTATTCGCGTTACGTGAAAATGGGGGGAAAATCTCAAGTCTGATCTTTGACAACCTCTAAGACGTAATCATGAATTTGTTCGAAGTCACCATGCGATTTCATGTCGCAAAACAGCATCGATCACGATTCGCAACTTATCGCGAAATTTTTTTTCCTCTTAAGAAACTCATCTTGGAATCGCCCGGAGACCATATCATTCATCGGGAGGCCATTTCGTTCAGGCAATTTTGCAATCTGTGTCCATTGTGTGTGGGGAGGAATCTTGTAGGATTTGGCGAAAGCCTCCGAGAGCGTGCCGAGTGCTTTTCTGCAAACTCGAGAGGATCGGATCTGTTGCGAATCCTCAGGGATCAGTCCCTGGGCCCCTTGCTAATCCATTGCTAATCCATCCGTTTGCATTCGCTGAAAATTTGTTAATGAATAATCAGTAAGTAATTTGCGGAAAATTTGCGCCTCAAGCAGATGCGACTGGAATTGCCAAATGTTTCCGTGCACTTTCCGACAATGCTTCATCGGTCACAGAGGAATGTAAGCCAATTTAATGAC